TTAATAATCCATAAATCCTTAATGAAATTTATCTACGAGATCAGATAAATAAATCCTTCAATATGAAGTAAGGGAATAAAAAACCAACAATTAATAAATTACCCGATCAAATAAGTTTTTTTAATGTAACCGGATAACCCGTCCGCATTTAAAATGTTAACAAAAAATACTGCAACCTAATCATGATAATATTATCTTATCATATTTTATAATACCTGACAAATATTCAAGTTATATTTTTTACTACAGTATAATAATATTTGCTCTTTCATTAATATTTTTATGGCAGTTGAGTTTTTTGTACAATTAGTGGTAAATAAAAGTATAACTAAAATACACTTTTAAGTATAGCGTCATCTAGTTTCCAAGCAGTGTAACAAACATCATTTGTCAACATTTACAACGGTTCTTGATCTATATGTTTTACTTTGTTTTACTAGATGGCGCTGCATGGAAAACAACTTTTGAGGTTGTCATATGTTGTATAATGTTTATTCATAATTTTCAGGCGAATGAAGTTAGCCCCTCAAAAAAATTTTTTTTTCCTATTAAAAGAAAGTAGAAGAGTAGAAACGTAGAAAGTTTAGGCATTATAGTTGACGCATGCGCAGTACATATATTTTGCATACATTTATTCAACTAATAAAAATAGTAAATTAAACAAAAAACGAGTAATTTCGAAAGAGAACAAACGTGTTTTATAAAAGAACAATCGAAAATGAATATTTACGAGTCATTAAGGATGAAAAAATATTAAAAATTGCATTAGAGGGGCTAACTTGTAGGTATATTTTTAAATATTTTTTTTAAATAAATAAATGCAGAACAAACAATTATTAACAGTGAACAATCATGAACAAATGATGAACAAACGAATTCATAAAAAATAAGTATAAAATAGGAAAAAAAACATTTTTTGAGGGGCTAACTTCATTCACCTTAAGTTTTCTAAGAATTTCTAACCTATAATATATTTTTTGGATAATAATATGGAGGAGTAGAAATGCCACCAAAACGGTAAAGTATTGGAAATGTTCAAATATTTGTTAACTCCAAAAGTAGCATAAGGTATAGATATTTGGTAGTTTAGTTCGAGTCAGAGTTGAAATATAATATAATATGTATAATATATATAATATAATAGTATATTTAAATCAATGGTTCGAGTAGTCAAAATTAAATGATTTTTAATGCAAAAAGGATTACTTGTGACATGTGAAAATGATTACTGCTAAGCACCGGCTCCCGTCCAATTAGCAGAGACATGTAAAATGGCGTTACTCGGGATTGATTGGGTGACTCCATGGGAACACCACGTGATGTTGGCTTTTGCTTTGTTTTATTTTGGCAAATAGTGACGACACGCTGATTTTCTTCGTGCAATACGAACTTTTCACCGCCAACGTCCATACCATGTTGAATACACCGGTTCTCGTCCGATCACCGAAGTCAAGCAACATCGGGCGTGGTCAGTACTTGGATGGGTGACCGCCTGGGAACACCACGTGATGTTGGCTTTTTACTTTGTTTTATTTTGGCAAATAGTGACGACACGCTGATTTTCTTCGTGCAATACGAACTTTCCATCGCCAACGTCCATACCATGTTGAATACACCGGTTCTCGTCCGATCACCGAAGTCAAGCAACATCGGGCGTGGTCAGTACTTGGATGGGTGACCGCCTGGGAACACCACGTGATGTTGGCTTTTTGCTTTGTTTTATTTTGGCAAATAGTGACGACACGCTGATTTTCTTCGTGCAATACGAACTTTCCATCGCCAACGTCCATACCATGTTGAATACACCGGTTCTCGTCCGATCACCGAAGTCAAGCAACATCGGGCGTGGTCAGTAATTGGTCAGAACGCCTGGTTACATCTAGCCAGACGAAAAAGTAAAACAACTAACGTACACATTTATCCTATATTGTTTATTTATTTATACAAATTACATTAAACGCTACAACAATTTTATTATAATGATAACAGCTTAAATTATAAAAAAATGCGTATAGAGCAATGTATGCAAATTCAATGTTGACATTTCAATTCTTAAATAAAAAAAAACAATATCTATGAAGTCAATTGTGTATGAATAACATTGTATTTCTAACAGCATCATTACAATTGCAGGCGTTTACTACATTAATCATTTTTCGGTTTAGGGAACGGACTTAATCGAGATAATATTTAAAAAAAAAACTTTTTCATTATACTGAGTAGACGGCTTAGAACCAATAAAGGTTTTGTAATAGTTAAAATACTATAGAACAAAAATGTTGAAACTTAAATTTAAATTAAAGTAAGCAAAGCAATGATATCTGCACCAACATAATTATATTTTATTAGCAAACGATAAAGAAAAATGCATGATTTCTAACACATCCATTTAATAATACTTACAAACGCCGACTTATGATTAATTATGTACAGACCAATCATTATTTAAATTAATTCTGCTTTTGATTACCACTTATTTTCAAAGCTTTTTTTACAGCTTAAAACAAAATGTAATTCTTTCTTCTGCTCTATTATTGTTCCTTTAATACTATATCATTCTAATATATATATAAAAAAAGTTTCTGCCTGTCAAACAAACTATGGTCAAATCTTATAGTGAAAGAATAAATGCACTTTTCTTTATATTATATAAATTGATTCGATAAAATGTTACATAAAGAATAAATCTGCAGCCATTTTATTTTTAAGTTAAGCCGAAATGTTTTTTTTTGTAATATTCTGTACGGATAGCGTTTTTAACACAATTAAAATATATGATTCTAAATGAGAATTTTTAATAGTATATTAGTTAAATAAGTGACATATTGAATCGCTACCATATATGAGAAAATTTGGTAAAACTAATATTCAGTGAAGTATAGTAAAAATAGTAATAGAAATGTAGATTCTATAATTCATCACACTGACATTGTAGAATAGATTGGGCGGTTTAGGTGTAATGTGCTAAAGTCGATTATTATGATTAAACAAGAGATGTTAAGTTTGAAATTTAATTTCTGTCATTATAGAAAAGTTATAGAAATCAATACATACATGTCCATATTTATATTTTATACTTCATTTTGGCGTGTTTGAGTGTAACATAATTTGTGTTTAAAGCAAAATAATATTGCAACGAAACATTGCAACAGTACTAAGTTTTCAGTCAATGAAACATTACAAGTTTTCAATTATAGTTTATTCAGACTTATAATAAATTAGTTATGAATAATTATAGCAAAAGGACGCTTATCGAAAAAACTCATGAACTTTTTACGTAGATACGTATCAATTAATCCTCATTGTCTATATATTTATCTGTATTCCTTGGATTTTGCGATTGACATCACTCACAAATGCGCTTACACAAATAGGATATACTATTGAATACAATCACAACATTGATTAAAGTATCTCTTGAAGCGAAACAAATTGTTTGTGTTTAAAATTACATATCAAACAAGAGGGTCAATTACATAGCAAAAACAAATACTGCGGGTTCGGTTCACTCTCATGTGACGTCACAATTCAATAAACAGACAATGATTTCTTGCAAACTTATTCCTAACACAAAAATATTTACCGAATTGTTACATCAAAGCAAAGACATATCATAAGTAATTTGTTGGTATTTAATTAGCTTTTCGATATTATATATTTTTTCTATTCACTGCTCTATGAAGACGCTCTGAAATAAATAATAATGAATAATTCCTATGAATTCTCACTTATGGTCAAATATTTTAATTAGTCACAAATAAGCATAATTTTAGAACGAACATGATTTTGCGTTCCAGTTTCTAATGAAATCAACTGTGTTATTTACAAAAGAAAAAGCTCTTTAAATTACAACTAAATGGTTTCGATAACACAAATGGTAACTTTTCTTAGTGCCATTTTTTATACCTAAAGCCCGGACTAATTTAATAGTATACAATATTTACAGGTCATTTAGATTAAATTTTAATAATATAGTCCATATTTTAACCAACATCGAAATAAACAATAATCCTTATCCTAACACAAATGCAGTTTTTACCTCATGTTTTTAGGTACATGGTGGTAAAAGTTTTGTACATGTAGACTCAAATACAGAGCAACATAAATAAAAAAATGGGAACTAAGCATTCTTTCTGATAAAAATAAATGTCAAGTTGTGACAAGGGCGACCCGGCTAATGGATAATTAAATTTATATTATCAAATCCCATCAAATAGATAATTTCTTATAAACACCATGATTTCCTTACAACAATTAAGTTTTCTAAATTAATCTAAACGTTTTAATATTAACTAACAATACATGAGACCAAATTTACAAAGCTGTCTTAAAATACTTAATATATGTACTGTGTTTTATACTATGTAGAGATCTACTAAAAAATCCGTAAATTTTCGTTTTCCTACCTCAGTGAAACGAAGTTAACATTATTTAATAATATAGTATCCTATTTAACATAGGAGTTTACAATTGGCATTTAAACTCTCCTAAAATTTTTTTTATCCGCTTGTAGACTGCTATGTTGAAAACATTCCACGCTGCCCACGATGAGCATTGGTGAACACATTTTACATAATAAGTCTTACCGGAAACCAAGTTTAACCATTTGGTACGTGTGTTTCCAGCTGTCAAGACTATTAAAAAAATATGCGACCCCAAAGGATTAGACATTGATATGCGTAGTCTAGAATGGACTAAAGACATAGTTTGAAACGAATTGGTCAAAGCACAGAACAATAGTTTAGTATCGATTTTTCAGAATAATTCACATAAATATTGTCAAAAATGCAGACTTTATGTTTACAAAGATAATTTTACCTACAAACATTTCCTGTTAAACTCTAAAACATCAATACGGAATTTTAAGTATTTCTGGATTTTAAAGTATTTTAACATATTTTATTTTAATTTCATTTCAAGAATTTACCAAGCTATTGGGCAACTCAATAATAGATTATGAAAAAAAAAACACTTTTTTTTATTTTGTAGTACTAATTACATTCACGATTACAATTAATACAGAGTAATATTTACAATTAACATTGAGGTCATAATTAAGTATACTTATTATCATAGTAGTCAATTATAGAGTTAATAGTCAATCTTAATGAGGATAATTTGTCAACAGCCTCTGTTCCTAATCTAAATTTACCGTTTGGTCACACTAAATCTCTTCAACACTTTTCTATTGAAAACGATCACCGATACTTCTCGCATATCACTATAGTATTTTATGTTTTTCATAGTAGCTATTTATAGAAACGCACAAACTCACAGAATCACCTCAAGTGTCAATTTTCACGTATTATGAGGTACTTTCTGAAGTCCCACGATCATTCTGGCTCCGTATACATAAATGAAAACGAATCGTGACAGGTGGGGTCAACGATCTCGGCCTGGATGAGACACTCGATGACCCAGTGTGTCGAGACCAGGGGTATGCCGTCCTGGTTGGCTTTGTTCTGGACTTCATGTGGACATTCCCAATCGGTGACCAGGACGAACGCGCCGGTCATGTTGAGGTCCTCCTCGTTGACGACGCGCGTGGTCGCCCCGGTCAGGTTGCACACACGTTCCCAGAATTTAACGAACGTGTCCTGATCGCCGCACAGAAGAATGATTTTGTCCTTGAAGAAGGTAGCGTTTCGCCTTTCGCCCGGCGGGTCCTGGAATTGTTTTCAATCAAATTTATGTCCATACTAGCTGATCCGGCAAACTTCGGAGTACCTCAATCGATAAATAAAATACCTAAACTTTTGTATAAAATAAACTTAAAACAATCGAGAGGAATCCGTCCGACGGGGGACACGTCAAAGGAAAAACGAAATTGTTATTATATTTTTAATTCCGAGCATTTTCATATTTATCTACCTTTTAAACTTGGACTTCCACATATAATTCAAGATCAAAAGTAACCAAATCGGTCCAGCCATTCTGTTTTAGCGAGACTAACGAACAGCAAGTAATTTTTATATATATATAGAAGAAAAAGATAGATTGAATGTTACTATTGTTAAACCGAATGTAATGGAATTGTGAAACTGTATTGCTCTATCTCATATGACAGATGACACATGTTAACTTCAAAACCTGCTTATCAAGTCCACATGCTCTCTTAGTCAGCCACAAGTTTATTGAAATTAAATGCCGATGAAAAACAACCTAAAGTGGATTCAGAGGTGATTTTGACATTTATGAACGAATCGAACTATGCGCCACCCACATTGAGATATTAGTTCTGAGGTCTCAGTATAGTTACAACGGCTGCCCCACCCTTCAAACCGAAACGCATTACTGCTTCACGGCGGAAATAGGCAGGGTGGTACCTACCCGTGCGGACTCAAGAGGTCCTACTACCAGTAATTACGCAAATTATAATTTTGCGGGTTTGATTCTTATTATATTATGTTATTCCTTCACCGTGGTAGTCAATCGTGAACATTTGTTAAGTACGTATTTCATTAAAAAATTGTGGTACCCGCCAGCGGGATTCGAACACCGGTGCATCGCTAGATACGAATGTACCGGACGTCTTATCCTTTAGGCCACGACGACTTTCAAGTTTTGTTATTGTAAATTTGTAAAATTGTAATTTCAGTTATTGTCTCCAGGACTCACCCATGTGATGTAGCGTCTGTGTAGAACTGAAAGCCCGGCGGGCAACGCGTGGGCATCAACGTCAGGTAAGATCTTTCTGGAGCAACTCGCAATGACCCAGTCATGTAGCACGGCTCTAACGTCACTGGCCAGGCATTGTATGTATTTCGCGGTTAGACATGGCCTGGGAGCTATTAGCTTACAAACCGCATATTTGTTCTTGGGTATCTCGTCGAAGTGACTGAGGAAATAGAGAGTTGTCAATCTATGTTACTGACAGACTAATGCTTTGGAATATAATATAGTAAACGTATTATTTTTTTATTGGAAATTGATTTCTAAAATAATGATGGAATATTTTAATACAATTTTTTCTCCTACCTACGCCGAAAGTTCGGTTTTCCTCCGGCTGTACAGTGAACAAAGTGTAACTTTTCCTCCCTGGGTACTGACAAGTGCGCATGCGCGTTAGTGTCTACGTCTGCTCTCACCTCAAAATTCTCCGCCATTGTTGTGCTCAGGTAATTTGCAATATTGTTTAGTGTAAAAGTGAAATAAACCTAAGGCAATAAAATTGAATAGTGAAGTATTAACAAAGATGAGTTCATCAGAAAGTTCTTATTCAATTAGTAGTAGTTTATTTAAAAATAAAAAAACTGAAAAATTGTTTTTTTATGAGTATGGGGGGCTCCGCCCCCCCTAGCCCTAGCCCTGGACCCCGGTTCGGTACTCCACGAACTTTCGGCCTGGTAGGAGAAAAAATAGTATGCGCACCGCGGGAATAAAGTAGGACATCTTATCCCGCGTGTTTGTCACCCTCGCCTTCGGCTCGGGTTACAATTTTACACACGAGAGGAAATGTCTTACTTTTCTCTCTTGGTGCACAATGTACTATTCAGTTACATTTAATTACTGTTTCACTAGAACACTTTGCAGTTGTATGTACTTACTTATAACAGTAGCCATATTGGTACCGAAAACAACTTTACATTTTATTTGTAATAAAATTCTACAAGAAAAAAGTTTTGAGCCGTTTAAAATAATAAATTGTTCTTCTACCTATACACTACTCCTCCTCCGGCTTCCAGCTGTTCCTTCAACCGTTCCTTGTTGAATGGTCTTGTAGAGAACTCAAAGTCCTCTGTATCAGTGCCCACAGTGGACGGAGCCTCGCTGTCTTCCTCCGAGGAATATTGTCTGGCGTCCGTTGAGTTATCAGCCCTCTCCTTTTCTTTCTTCTTATCTCTTTCTTTTTCCTGTTGGTAATTTTTTAAATTTTTTATTGTGGTCTTAAGTGGTTACTGGAGCCCACGATAGTTGAACGTGACAACGTCAAAAGAAAATACTGATGGAATGGTTTCATTTTTCAATTATTGCAATTATCGTTGCTATAAACCATTGACACCGCATTCATTTTTCACTGAACTTCATACTTGGCGAAAATATGTAAATGTATTATTGTATAGCAGGTGTCCACACGGATGCATCGCTCACTCAAGTAGGAGAGAGACAGATGTCGAACGCTGCCGAACGCGGAGGCCGATTGTGCCTCTTTGTCGCTCGCTGCGCGCTCTCGCTTGAACTTCAAGCCTTAAATGGAACGCTTCAGAGCGAGGTAACGCCGCATAAGTCATGTTTTTTCGTGTGTGCAGCCGGCTCCATCGAATTATAAGATGTTGACATGTCAAAAAAAAAAAAACCTTTGTCTTGCCACCCCAATGAAACGTACGTACCTTGTCCACTCGGGATCGCTTCGAGGTGGCCGCGCAGGTCAGCAAGAAGTACATTCCCTTGAAGATCTTGTGGTCGCCGTCCGGTATCGGGCCGAGCTGAGAGACGGTGTCGGCGTCGTTCTCGAACTTGGTCAGCTTCGAGTTCTTCTTACCGATGTTCTGTTTCGCGGCCCCTTTCAGTTGGAACGGGCCCGCTGTGTACGTACGCAATATTTTATTTACGCTCAATAAAATTCCGAAATGATGATTTCCTTCAGTTTTCGCGCTGTAATTATCGCTAAAAGTAATTTAATGTATAATTTGAATATTGACATTAACATGAACATTGACAGTAATTTATCTTTTAATTATAATTGTAGACTGCACAGAAAAATATAATAATTTAATATATGAAAAAATACTTGAAACTGTAGTTTAAGAAGACATCTAAAAACGCGGCGCACGGAAGATCTTGCCTTATTAAATAAGTGCTGCATAAACCTATCAATTTCATTATCTGTTATGTTATAATATGTGTATTTTGTCACCTTTGACACCATCAATTTTTCTCGGAGTCCGCTGTAGTTCAGGCTCCACTCCCGCTACTTCCTCNGCCCACGCTGACCTAGCTCCGGAGTACCCTGAGCGAAGTTCGCCCACGGTCACGCTCTCCAAGGCACATCCACCTTGGGCGGCTATCGCAGCTGCCACCTCCTCCTTGGTGGCACAGTCGTCCAGGCCGGTGATCCTGATCTCGGCCATCCTCACCGGCCTGTGCACGCGCACCTCATTCTCCGGCAGCGCCACGCGGAGCGTCGCCACGAGTCTGTCTGCGACACCAGAACTATCCGTACCGGGACACTCCAGCAGCTTATAGAGTGTCTAATGTATAGTCTACGTGATGACGGTTTTCTATGATAGAACATAGTTAGGTTTAATTATTATTATTCATATAAATAGCTGTTTCTTTGTATATTATTATTATATATTTTTTATACATCATTGTGAATAAAATAAAGTTGATAACTTGTAGTTTTATTTTTTATTTTTATCAACAAAAAAATCATAATAAAAAATGTATACCCGAATAATTATTTTCTTTATACCTTGAATAGTGTATCCTATCCAGTGTTCCACGACACCACACATTTTTTTATACTAGCAACCTCAAGTGGTTATGCTAGATTAGCAGAACAAGACACATCATTAATTATCATTTATGTAACGTCCTATTTTGTGTGTATATCAGTTTAGAAGTCTATGATATCTACTCATATAAGGAAGCAACCACCCCCCCTCCCAAGGGTTATACTTTACACATCTTATTTTTTTTTCCCCATTTGTTTCCTATTTTAAGGGTAGAATTTTATTCCTCAATACTCGAGACAGATTTCAAACAAGAAATCCATTTCCCGAACAGGTTTAAAAAAATCACACCCTGTATATTATTCCACCGATAAAGTGTGGTCAGTAATGATCAGGTTGATCAGGATCAGATATAAGTTGAAGGATCTTAGAAAGGAATTTATATGATAGTTTTAGTAATTTGAATGATATTTTAGAATTTTCATACATTACATAACATTCAATATTCAGTTGAGCTAAGTCTAGGGGACATGTATTTGTGAGACTATTCAGCGAAGCACTGCCCTTGCTCGGGCTGGGCTGACCCCTATGAGATCGTCTAGACCAGCGGTCGGAGAACCAGGGTAAATTACCCCAAATAGGGTAAAATGAAATTTTGGGGGGTAAAATGAAACTTTTGTGAGTAAAAAGTATATATTGAAGTGAAACTTATTTAGAATCGTTGTGATTTCAAACTCATAAAAATATCATATGGATTATAAAATAACAAGAAATTATCATTTACTTATATTTTCTGTGGGAGCAATTTTTTTTTTCCTCAACTGTATCTTACATATATTACTATTATTACCGTTATGTATTACTAGGTAAATTGAATAAATGATGTTTAAATTAAATTTTTAGTTACTGTTTTCTTTTCAAAATTATCATGGGGGCTATAATATGAATGATGCTAAAAAGAAGCGATTTGGTTTTTTTTTGTTCTTCACCATGGGTAATGTCAACTTACACAAAAATATTTTGGGGTAATAATTAAAAAATTAGAAAGAATCTGGCCTAAGTCTAGTATACTAGCCTGGGTAAAAACAAAGGTGAGAGTAGCGTTAGTAAAAACTTTTTTCTTTTTTTTTTACCTGACGTAGAGGCTTTAGGACTCTTAGGTGAAGCCACTCGTTTCCTGGCGCTTGAGCTTCCTTTGTCTCTGCTGCGAGCACTCCGCGGGCCCTGCGCCAACACTGCACGTTAGTGTGAAGCTAATTCTGCATTTCGCGTTAACACTAAATTATTTATCTAAAAGACATATTTTTAAGATACTGTTAGTTCTTTCTGTGTTAAAGTACTTCTAATTATATACATCAGGGCTCGATTAGAACCAATTTTTTTTCCTATCTAAGCTGATGGTCTTAAGAGACCATATCAGCGTCACCGGGCATGTAGGTGAGCTCACGGGGCTCAAACCTGACGACGTTGCTAACACGAACCCTAGCAAGAGCCGTGCCTCGCAGTATCTAATTGGAAACGCGACTCACTGAGAAGATCCGGCGGGAAACTCAATGGGCTGTGTCTGTGGTGGTCAATGACCGGTGCTTGGGGTACCTAAAAGCACCGTTAGTGGATCGAGAGGAACCGAGATGACGTGTACAAGACGAAGATGATGCGTGCAGCAATTGGTGATTACGTTGCCCAGTCTGTTCTACGTAATAGACTGGGGAAAAAGTGTCTGCATTTTTTAAGAAAATTTACATTTTTAATATAGTTTATTTACATTAAACTAAAATATGTAGGTACCATTTTGTTCGATAATTTTTTGCCATCTTGTAGGTACGGACATGATCCCATTGCTATAGAAATTTTGGGTCTTCTGATCAAAATACCGCGATATTTGGTTTTGGCAGTCCTCTCGTGATGTTAACGTAAGTCAACGATCCTATTATTTATATTTTTTTGTCTTGCCACGATCGACCGTACGATCGCGATCTACCGGTTGACCACCTCTGATACACATGACCCTCAACAACATTAATATTGCTTCTCAATATTTTTAATGCCATTTACATTTTATTGCTTAGATGGGTGGACGAGCTCAGAGCCCACCTGGTGTTAAGTGGTTACTGGAGCCCATAGACAGCTACAACGTTAATGCGCAACTCACCTTGAGATATAAGTTCTAAGGTCTCAATATAGTTTACAACGGCTACCCCTCCCTTCAAACCGAAACGCATTACTCCTTCACGGCAGAAATAGGCGGGGCGGTGGTACCTACCCGTGCGGACTCTCAAGAGGTCCACCAGTAATTACGCAAATTATAATTTACATTGCAATAAGCAGCTTTATAATCACGTTTCTCCTCTACTAACCTGAATAATATTATCCAAGTCCAATTCTCTGTGGTTTCTCCTGCGAGGGGTCGTGTTAGGAGTGGTCGGTGACCGTGGTCTGCCGGCATCCTTCAGAGCTCTGGCTTGTTCCTCCGTTAGATAGAGTTCGCTGGCTGTTACCACGACTAGGGTGTCACTGTAAAGGAGCGTTAATTATTGCTGTAGAAAGATGCAGTAGAAGGCACGAGATCGAAGTTAATGGTATTTTAAAAGCATCTTTCGTGTAGGACTATTGTCGGAGATTACTATATTTTACAAAAAAAAGAACAAGATTGAATTATATTTAAAATACGTTTTCAAATTTTATTTATATATTACTTAGATGCGTAGACAAACTCGAGGCCTACCTGATTAAGTTAAGTGGAGCTCATAGACATCTACAACGTAAATGCCACCACCCCACCTTGAGATTGGAGTTCTAGTCAGTTTTTATAGTACAATGGTTGCTCTACCCTTTAAGCCGAAACGCATTACTGCTTCACGGCAGAAATAGGCGGGGTGGTGGTATCTACCCACGGACCTCACAAGAGGTCCTAACGCCAGTAATTACGCAAATTATAATTTTGCGAGTTTGATTTTGATTACACGAAGTTATTTCTTCATTGTGGAAGTAAATCGTGAATATTTGTTAAGTAAGTATTTTAATAGAAAAATTGGTACCCGTCTGCGGGATTCGAACACCGGTGCATCGCTCAACACGAATGCACCGGACGCCTTATCCTTTAGGCCACGACGACTTTGAATTATACAAATGGAATAGCGAATCTTACCCGTTTGTGGCACACTTGTATGTAATAGTGCCACTGTCGTTTTCTTCGACGCCAAGAACCAAACCCGGCTCGTAGTTCTGTTCTTCGTCGACCACAGCATACACCAGCTGTCCGGTAAGAGGCAGAGTCTTCATGTCCCCAAAGATAATGAAATCGTCAAGTAGAACCTTCGTTTGACCATCGTCGAATTTGATCAAATATTTGTTCAAATCTGTTATCTCGACTACTTTGCCGGAATAATACCGTTTGTCCACCCACTTCGCCAACACCACTGTATCCGGGGCGTGACCGGGGTATTCTTGCTTCATCATTTTATCTACAGGAGTCGCTGGTCGTGGGGAGTTCGGTCGACGTTTCTGCTTCAGTTTGCTTACGGATTTCGGGGTCGCGACCATAGAGGACAGCGGTTTCTCGTCTTTAGGCGATTTTGGCGAATGTCCTCCGTCCCCGTTGCTGGGGACCATTTCCGGGGAATTCATGTCGTACATAAACTCTGCTTCTTCTGGCTGAGTTGGCAGTATTGCTCGTTTCGTCTTCGCCGCCATAGGTCGTCGACCTCGTACCCGAGTTTTCTTCAAAGAACTTTTCGGTGTGGTTTTATCACATTTGCTGACCTCTTCAGGGCTAGCGTTGCCATTACTCATGTTGCTTTCCGTGGAAAGAGATGTCTGTACGGCAATCGACACTTTGTCGTCACTTATCGACCGACCGCCGTCGTCAGATACTTCGCGTATATGCGAAAATATCTCTTGTAACTTCTTCATTAGTGCATCATATCCCTTGATTGAGTATGTCGGATTCGATACGGATTTCCTTGGAGGATGTGGCACCACGAAGGCTCCGTCACTGGTTCTGTTGCTGCTCAACGTCGATGTTGAACTGACAGTGGAAGCAAAAGAAGTCCTGTTAGGCAAATTAATCATTCCCCCGCTGGTAACACTTGACGGGGAGTTACTGACTGAAACGTCCGCTAAGTAAGGATCGATGGTGAAACGCTTGGATATCCTTTGGTATTCTTTGCACATGTCCATGCCTAAGTCATTGTCAGTTCGGACAACGTATAGGGATAAAAATTCATTGTCTTCGTTGTGACTGATGTGGACGTCGAAAGCTGGTACATGTGGAGTTGAAATAGGTAGCGAATGTCCGTTCTGTAGTGGCGATATCGTTGAAGGTGTGGTAGTATTACTCGCACGGAATGATTCATTTTTAAGGCGCTTCCCTTTGATGTTATTCAGTTTTACCATATCAGGAGTGCAATCGCTATCTTCAGTCGCGTCGGTCGGTGTAGAAGAGTTGCCATTCGATAATTTCGAGATGAGTTTTGAGGCCGCACTAGGGATGTGATCGGGACTCTCCAAGTTCATTGAACAAACACTGTCAGTGCTTTCCAGATCAGAGGTCTTACTCAAATTCAAATTCGTTCTGGGTATTGACATGTTATTATCTGAGTAAGCATTTCCTTCACTACTTGCTTTTTGTACTTTTGCGGGTTTCATGGCTACATCACTATCCTTGAGAGTAGGATCACTGTTGTATTTGATTTTAACATTCTCATCATCAGGAGTAGGAGACATTTCTAAGTGCAAGCCCTGTGAGTCATCTAAGCTTTCTGGGATCTCGGGTATAGTGTCTGGTACTTTTGGTGGTGGTATTTCTTTAACAAATTCAATGCTCGGTCTTGAAGTTACCCTGTCAGCTGTGTACTTTAATTCTATGTTAGCTTGTAGATTCTTTTTTGGAGTACTTTTCGTGACCTCAACACTAGCAGGTCTAGATTTGAGAGTTTTAGGAGTTTTTACTATGTCAGCACTATTGCTCCTCTTAGTTAATAGCCTTGGGCTGGATCGGACTGGGGTCCGAACTCGAGATGTTGAAGGTAGCTCTAAGTTATCACACAATCTTTTAGACCGTGTTATTTCAGAAACTTCATCGTCTAAAGTTTGAGAGGAAACTGCAAATTCATCTTCAACAAGTTCCAGTTTTTGTATTTTAGGGCTGCTCTGGACTAATTCATCAGAATTTTTTCTTTTTGTCATAGCCAGCTCCTCTGAAAATTTTAAAAACGAAGCATTAACAATATTGACATATTTTTTTAATTACTCATTTAATTATGTTCTTTCATTAATTAAATTTCTACCCTAATATCTGCTACCTTAGGAACTATATTGATTTTAGATATTACATATTTATTGTTTTTTATTGTGATTTAAAGATTTTAATGAAATTTGAATACTAAAGATCGTCCATAGTCACAAAGCAAGAAAAATCGGTTCACAGCAGGGGAAGAAAACGATACTTAACTATTTTGTTACAAGTTAAATATACATACCTAGACAATCTTCTGATTTTTCTTTCTTGTCTTCATCAGGTGCCGTACTTGAAACAAGCTACAATACAATGATAAAATAATTTAAATTTTAAGTAATGATATGCATAAAAAATCAGAAACCATTACATAGAGAAGTAATTTTATTTATATAAAGATGCTGAGGAGTTTTTAAATATCTATATAAACTTAGGTAAAGGGAGAGTGAAAGGCCAGAATCTATGGCTTCAATTTCATGGGAATTTCAGAGTAAAGCAACTATGAGATAAAAACTTTTCCTGTTTTTAATTTTGTAGTCAAAATCGCCTAAAACTGTAAATGTCTCATGTATTCGTATCGAGCAATGCATGGATGTTCAAATAATTTATCCTTAGGTATTTTTGATTGACTAACACCCTAACAGAAAAATTTACACAATTATAATATTAGTAAACACTCATTATATTATATCATTTCTAATCCGTCCTTAGATGGGGATATGGGGTGTCAAAAATAGTCATAACAATCTTAAGTATATAATGAATTATCTTTTAAGTATTTATAGCATAAATATTTATTTCAATTTAAGGTAAGATCAGAAATGTTCTGTGGCTGACATACCCACAATAAGAATTAAGATATGTCATCTTTATGTTTCATGCTATTGTGTTTATAAATGTAATTGGATTGAAGTGTGTGTGACTAAAAATAAAGATGAACCTAAGATTAATTGACAATTAGTCTCATTTAGAATTAGGACAACTCTTGATAAAGGGAAAGTGTAAGGAACATAATGATATCATTGAATTGGATTGTATTATTATTTATTATATTATATGATTAGTTCTCGGCTTATTGTGATTGTAGGCAACATATAAGCACCCGATGACTATTGGCATTTCAAGCTGTAGTTTATATATTTTTAGACAAAAGTATTGCTGCTCCCCAAATTCAATGAAACATATTTTTTCCAATATAAAGCTAGTCATTTATTATAATTTATTTTTACCTCAATCTCTTCAGGTTCATAAACAGGACTTTCCGGAAACAAAATTTGTGAGCTATCTGAAGGCTTCTCCATTACACTATCAGAAATAATAATAGTATCGGTCACCACAGGTTCAGAGGTAGAAACTGAAATGGTAAAGGCTTAAATAAACAAAAAATGCTACTGGTTCACACTAAAGAATTCAAAATTGAATCAGATATAGTGATTTTATAGGCTATATTTCTGATTACAAAATAATGTATGTATTCTTCAGCCCTTTAACACCCACTGCTAGGTACAGGGCCCCCCTTTTTATGGCATAACGTTAAACTAAGCACCATTCTCATCCAAAAATAATACTTAAGAATTTAAGTTGATAAGAGAAAAATTCAAATTTTAGTTATTCATAGATATGTATAGGGTGTAACTTGAGGAGGCAAATTGGCGATTGGTGATTCCAGATACGACAACACTAAATAATATCGAAATTCTTTAATGATAGTATATTAGTTTTTGTACTCTGTGTTATATTTATTATTATGTGTATTAAGTACCACAAATAAAATGGGCTGACGCGATGGTCTCAGGTGGACAGATGTCAACAAAACATCGCCATCGCCTTGAGACATGACCGTCCTTCTCTTCAATTTTGAACACACGATAGCAACGCGAGTTAAGCAGGGTGATTTTTTTTTTAATATTTAAATTTAAAATTTATGTTATCTGTGGTTTAAAAATAATTTTGTGTTTGTTTCGCATAACCTAAGTTTTACATTTAATGTTGTTTATATAATATTTACTTATTACAGATTATGAGTTGTTTATAATATTGTAGCGATAAAATAAAATGGACGACGTTGTTATCGAATACGTAAATTTATTATCAAAAATAGATTTTGTATTTACTCACTATTGATGTTTGGGAGATAGTACTACCGCGAGAAATGTATTATATTATGAAAACACTTTTATCAAATTTGGGGAATATGCTATATGAAACCAATATTATTATATAATTTTCAAACTTTTCTGCAAAATTTACATATATGCTTAAATAAATTCACCAAAAACACTCTTCAATAATTTGAATTTCTACTACCGAAAGAACTTCGATTTACCACTCAATTTATCCGGATATCATTCATGTACGTCAAAAGCTTCGTCTCATTTATGACGATAGCGATAATTTTTAATATTAAGATACCTGTTTCTTGAGGCCCAGAATCCATTTCAGGTAAGCTGTCGGATGATCCCTCCATTAGATGTTGGATTTTAATTCAGAAACCAAGCTTAAAGTGGCGCGTAACTACACATGAACATCTGTCACATGAATTTACTTAAAATCGTAACTGTTTTAGAAAAGTAAGACCGCAAAAACTAATGCCATACTTAGTGGAACTAAATGTGAATTGTAATAATTATAGATTAGAATGATAACAATTTTTATTTAATAATTAATTCCCAGATTACAGATTGCCGATTTTAGCACTCCACGGGGACCGCTTGTTGATCCATCTAGTGTTGCTGTATTGTTGTTTTAAAATTTCCAGGATATTTTCTAGCTTTCTTGAAAAAATGCCCAAAAATGAAATCGATGTTCCTTTATGTAGTCAATAAATTAATTAAGTTGTTATAAAAAAAATTGAACTCTATTTCTTTCTACATGAACTTACCGATACTTATTTTCATTTACAAAAAATTGGGTTTAAAATATTCATAATACATAACGAGGATCGAGGATGTGCATTTTAATAAATTTCAAATGCTTTAAAATTTGTTTAGCTTTCTTTTTCAAGGAATGCGTGAAATAATTCAGAAACACATTTAAGTTTTGTATACTGGCAATAATTATTCTTGCTTTTTGGCGGGAACGCGAGGAGTGAAATTGTGTGATTTGTTTTATTTTGTCTATTTAGTGTTTCTTCAGGTTTAAATGTGTAATAATGGTGGTTTATTAACTGTTTAATATCTGTGAAAGTGCACAAATGTGGGAAAATGAAACAAAGCTGCTGGACGTAACTTCTCGGGTTCCTCCAAAAAGTCCACTGAAAAAATCTCAGTAAATGACCACCATTTTACTGCGATTATATTATTTCATCCCATATCATCTCATTTCATTAAATTTCATCCCATTTGATTAATGTCTCAAATTAATCATCTTCATTTCATTTCACTCCATATTATCATTTTTCAAAATCAAGAATATAAAGTAAAATAAGACATGACTTAAAAGGTCTTAGTTACCAGGTCATAAAATCTCTTAAAAAAAAAAATCACGACTTATGGGACTTTTTGGCGGGAACGCGAGGAGTGAAGTTGTGTGATTTGTTTTATTTTGTCTATTTAGTGTTTCTTCAGGTTTAAATGTGTAATAATGGTGGTTTATTAACTGTTTAATATCTGTGAAAGTGCACAAATGTGGGAAAATGAAACAAAGCTGCTGGACGTAACTTCTCGGGTTCCTCCAAAAAGTCCACTGAAAAAATCTCAGTAAATGACCACCATTTTACTGCGATTATATTATTTCATCCCATATCATCTCATTTCATTAAATTTCATCCCATTTGATTAATGTCTCAAATTAATCATCTTCATTTCATTTCACTCCATATTATCATTTTTCAAAATCAAGAATATAAAGTAAAATAAGACATGACTTAAAAGGTCTTAGTTACCAGGTCATAAAATCTCTTAAAAAAAAAAAAAAAATAGTTTCAAACGTCTGTGACACTTTAAAATAAAAAAAATTACACTATAATTGTATGTAAGTCGCTGAGTTATTTAAGTAGGTACGCCAAGGTGTCCCTTTGTTTTTCTAATTGTAAAAATGAGTAAATAAATATAAATTCAGTCCTTGTAAAATTACAGCCCCTGTAAATTGTTAGATGTCAAAATGTGTATTTTTTTTGCTTATAAGGGTGGACGATCTCACAACCCACCTGGTGTTAAGTGGTTACTGGAGCTCATAGACATCTACAACGTAAATGCGCCACCCACCTTGAGATATAAGTATTAAGGTCTCAGTACAGTTCTAACGGCTACCCCACCCTTTAAACCGAAACGTATTACTGCTTCACGGCAGAAATAGGCAGGGTGATGGTACCTACCCGCGCGGACTCATGAGAGGTCCTACTCCCAGTATTATCTATTATGTCAAATTCTCAGCTGAAAATTGGGACATTCTAAGAATTCTTTAACAAAAAATTATGTACAGTGCATCAATCAGTTGGAAAATAACCAGACTCTTTGGAACACGAGGCGAAATCTTATTTGTACTATATTTTGTAACCCGTGTAAGCCTGTAATAATAGTTTTCATTAAAAGTTTAGCACTTGTAAAGTTCACAAGTTTTGAGAAATGATACAAAATCGTTGGCTTCTCGCGATTCTCTAAAAAATCCCTGAAGTTTCATTATATGGAACAATATTTTCCACATGAACTTACTCGTTTCATTTGATTCTATTTCCTTTACTATGTTTTTATTGCTTTGATGGGAGCTTGCTCACGGCCCACCTGAATTTAAGTGGTTACTGGAGCCCATAGACATCAACAACGTAAATGCCGCCATCCACTTTAAGTTTTTTTATTTTTTTATTGCTTGGATGAGTGGACGAGCTCACAGCCTACCTGATGTTAAGTGGTTACTAGAGCCCATAGACATAAACAATGTAAATGCCCTCATCCACCTTAAGATATTGAGTTCAAAGTTTCATTAGTACAATGATTATACCTACGCGGTAATACCTATTCCTTATTCGTGGAAGTGAATCGTGAATATAAATTAATTACTTAATTCATTATAAAAATTGGTGTCTGCCTGCGATATCTAAATTTAGAACCGATACGAAAGCATCTAAAGGTAGCGTCAGAACGATACTTCGACAAAGCGGCGTGACACGACAACACTTTTATCTTGGCCACTCTCAGTGCCTTTAGGCCCCTCAAGCACCAGTCACCGTCCTTCGTCGTAATCGACGAGTTCAACGAGCGAACTAGCCTATAGACACAGCACATTATCTCTCGCCGGATCTTCTCAGTGGGTCGCGATTCCGAAGCACTGCTCTTGCTAGTGCAGCTAGGCTAGTGTTAGCAAACACTCCTACTTTGAACCCGTGAGTTCACCTATAGGTCATAGGCAGTTGTAATAGCCCCTTAGACTATCAACGATTGGGTAGGGGAAAAAGAATTAATTCAATAATTAAATCAATTTCAATTTTAATTCATTTGTCAATCCAAATAAAAATAATTGAATGTACAGTACCTAGCAGTGATCTCTGAGGTGACAAGTTGTCTATGTCGATTACTACTTATGTAAATACCCTCGCGTTGCGGCGTATTCACACAATGTAGGTACTAAATGTCTTTGAAGGAAAACACGATTAACATAAAACAATGTTGACGATACCAAATGTACGAAAATGGAATTTTTGTGTTCGGCACCAAGATTCTTTGTGAAGTGAAAAATGTAGACGCTTTAACGCGTCTCCCTTTAGAGCTGTCGTGGATGGTATTTTCGTAAGTACCTCAGTCGTGGCGGTAACGATTAGATAAGGAGAGATAATTAAAAAAAAACTTATTCACCTCAGCAGCTCAAACATGCCGCTTTTGCTGCGAGACAACAGTGAACAAAACGCGATTTTGATTCGAGCGTGGGTCAAAGTAACTTTTTAATTTTTCAATGTTCAGTGCCTTGACGAATTGACATTGTTCAGCCACAAATTTGAAAACATTCGAATTTTACTGTGCTCTGTCTCTTTCACATGTACCTATATAAAAAAGCGAGTGAAAAAAACAAACCCCTACAAAATTCGATTTTGGAATTCGACCTCAAAGAAAACACGTTCGGAAACGCGTAATACCCTAACACTTAAAGATATAATTTGTTATAAAGAAATTACGTTTTTTTTAATAGTTATTTCAATCTATTCCTGTTTACTTCTATGTCTCCTAAGTAGTATGTGTTCTCACTGCTGAGCTGAAAAGTTATGTGTGCTACACGAGAGCAAAGTTTTTTGCATCTCGTGCTTTTGAGTCCGTCCCTACGCTCAGGATTCTAACTTTGAATCACTTGAATAAATCAATCATAGAATCCTTCGCTTGCTCGAGATTCAAGATCAGTACTCGAAACAAAAAACAACTTTGCTCTCTTGTTGCACAAATAACTATTTCTTCCCCTAAAAGTAGCGTATAAAGATTATCCTACTTTGAATAAAAGTGATTGTGAACTTAAAAAATTATGTCTATAATTTTTTTTTATTTTTTTTTATTGCTTAGATGGGTGGACGAGCTCACAGCCCACCTGGTGTTAAGTGGTTACTGGAACCCATAGACATCTACAACGTAAATGCGCCACTCACCTTGAGAAATAAGTTGTAAGGTCTCAGTATAGTTACAGCGGTTGCCCCACCCTTAATATGAAAATCTAATACAATTAAAATAAGATTTAATTCTCATCTATGAAAGTGGTGGCGGTGCAGTCAAGCCGCAAGATAATATGTCTTTAGTGTTCGTGTATAAAGTATAATTAACATGTATTGTAGGTACTTAGATGATGCCTCCTTGAGGAGCGCTTCGTTCGTAAATAAGACATGGTCAAAAATTATATTGGCAAACAGAAATTTAAGGAATCGCACGAACAAATTTGAGCTCACAATTAGGTTAGGCTCGAAACCTTTGGCGAACTTTTACAGAAGGAATAGAAGGAGATTAAAAAAAGAAAGAAGAATCGATAAGATTAACTATGTGCCTTGTTGTGAAGAGACAGGTAGAGTATTTAGTGTTTCTGAGTCTGATAACAAAATTCTCTTGAAAATTAAAAGGGTCATTTTATTTTGTAACTAGCGGCCCGCTCGGGTCTTTAACAAAAATTTCAACGATATTCGACGTTGTTTAATTTTTTTAAATAAAAGAACACTTACTGCGGCATAACTACAATAGTTTGACATCTGCTGTCGCGACACTTTTTGTAAATAATAATGTGTTCTACAAAGTCGTAGTACATTATTTTATTCTATCATCAATAGTTTTCGCAGGGCACGTGATGTAAAGAATATTTTAGGTAAATTTTTTTCATCTTGGGTTACATTATTGGAGTTTTAGTTAGGGTCCCTATTTTTTGTCAAAAAAGGTTAAAGCCTATGTCATTCGGGAATAGTGTAGCTTGCAAACAGGGAAAGAATTTTTCAAATCGGTTCAGTAGTTTCGGAGCCTATTCAATATAAAAAAAAAACAAATCTTTCCTCTTTATAATATTAGTATAGAAGTATAGACAATATTAGTATAGATGACACACTAGTTATTTTCGGTTTTTTATTGCTGTAAACAAGTGAACTGGCTCATTGCATATCTGATGTTTACAAGCATCGCCTTCTGAATGTGACCTGCTTCAACAAGACATCAAAATCTCAACTGCATTGAGTGAGGACTGTCCCGCCTTTTAATAATATAATTCGTTCAGAAATAGGCGGGATCGTGGTACCCAACAGAACCGTCTTACATGAGATCTATAATTTAAGTAATTATGAAAATTTCTGGGTTTCATTTTATTGCATAGCATTTCTTATCGCGATGGTGAACGAGTTTTATGTACCCATAGAAATATTGGTATAGATATATTAAATAGATTGGAATGGTATCTATATTCTTCTTCTAAATATAAAAATAAATTGCTGTTCGTTAGTCTTGCTAAAACTCGAGAACGGCTGGACCGATTTGGCTAATTTTGATCTTGAATTATTTGTGAAAGTCCAGAGAAGGTTTAAAAGGTAGATAAGTATGCAAATTCTCGGAATTAAATAAAAATAACAATTTTGTTTTTCCTTTAATGTGTCGCCCGTCGGACGGATTCCTTTTGTTTGTTTTAAGTTTATTTTATACAAAAGTTTAGGTCTTTTATTTATCGATTGAAGCATTACGAAGTCTGCGGGGTCAGCTAGTCAATACATATAATAAAATAGATAGTAAACATGTTGGTACGTTGCGAAGAGTTTTTCTTAATCTATACTAATACCTATATAAATCTACAGTGCTTTTCACGGATGTTCCGTAACTGACTATACAATGCATCCGATTGACTTGAAGCTTGGTATCCATGTAGCAAATACATGTACTTAATGGATAGGCTAATATTTATATGAGTGTTGGACTCCCTAATAATAATGACGATAAACAATAATGTTAATTTTAAATGCCTATCGAAGCGGGCGAGTACGGCTATTTTTCTTTTAATTTCTTTCACTCCACCTTCGAAGCTTCCGCCTAATCTGAAGTTTAATTATAGTTTACCTTTATTTATATTATTTTTTTACTGATATTATCTGTCTCTTGCAGTTCGACCTATGAAGACTGTGGTACACAAATCGAAAAGATGTGGCGAAGATTTGGTTTTATATTCGAAACGATATAAATTGACTTAGACAAATAAACTTGAAAGGTTTATGATTCTTTTTCAAATATAGTATCAAATATTTCTGAATGCGGTATTGATACCTTACTTCTAGTATTCTTTTTATGACTGAGCTCAACGATAAATGAAGTGCGTCATGTAATGAAAATCAAACCCTCAAAAATTGTAATGTGCGTATTTGATATATACGCCTCAAGTTCTAAGGACCCCGACGTCACTTTGGCTGGCATTCACTTTGTGCTATCTATGGGCTCCGAAGGTGGACCGTTAGCTTTTTTATTGCGTGTTATTTTGCGTGTGGAATCGTGTAAGTTGAAGTAGTTTGAAGTCATTGCTCAAGGCATCAGAGAATCGCCTGACGGCCAGGTAGGTACCACCACCCTGCCTATTTCTGCCGTGAAGCAGTATTGCGCTTCGGTTTGAAGGGCGGGGCAGCCGTTGTAACTATACTTGAGACCCTAGAACTGATATCACAAGGTAGGTGGCGCATTTACGTCGTAGATGTCTATGGGCTCCAGAAACCACTGGTGGGCTGTGAGCTCGTCCAACCACTTAAGCAATAAAAAAAAAGAAGGAAGTTCTCAATTCGACTGTATGTTTTTTTTTGTTACCTCATAACTTTGGACTGGATGAATCGATTTTGATGATTCCTTTTTTATTAGAAAGCTGACGCTTCCCGTGTGGTCCCATTTCAATTTAGTCTACTTCTGATAATGTTATACATGAGAAAACCATATAAGTCTTAAATTTGCATTAAGTACGGGCGCGACAAATAGATGAATAACTCAATATCACGCCAACCGATTTCGATGATTATTGTTTTTAGTGTATATTAATTTGTTTTGGAATATCTTCTTTTTTCTATTTGAAGTCGGTTGTTGTTAAAGCATGTCTATTTAGGTACAATTATGTCGCTTTAGTTCCAACATCACTTAATGTTCAAGAGACGGCATTTTGATGATAAGTTGACCCAGTAAAAAGCCTATTCCCATGTCACTATTGGTAAATAGATCGTATTGCAAGCAAGCAAAGGTAACGTCATTCCTACCAATATTACTGCAAGTGTGTCCTTTTGTAAACTAGGATAACCGATGTACCATTGCAAATGTTCTTCGAGTAACGGTGAAGGAATAACATCGTGTAATAAAAATCAAACCTGCAAAATTATAATTTGCATAATTACTGGTGGTAGGACCTTTTGGGAGTGCACACGGGTGGGTTGCCGTCGCTTGCGACGAAGGGCTCGACGAGCGAATTAACCCATAGACACAGCCCACTGAGTTTCTCACCGGATCTTCTCAGTGGGTCGCGTTTCCGATCCGGTGATAGATTCTGCGAAGCACTGCTCTTGCTAGGGTCAGTGTTAGCAACTCTCCAGTTGAGCCCCGTGAGCTCACCTACAAACGTTAGGGTGAAGCTGAAATAGCCTCTCAAGGCTATCAGCATAGGTAGGGAAAAAAAAAACACGGGTAGATACCACCGCCCTGCCTATTTATGTCATGAAGCAGTAATTGGTTTGAAGTGTGGGGCAGCCGTTGTACTGCTAACAACTGAGGCTTTACAACTCATATCTCAAGGTGAGTGGCGACAATTACGTTGTAGATGTCTATGGGCTCCAGTAACTACTTAACACCATGTGGGCTGTGAGCTCGTTCACACATCTAAGCAATAAAAAAAATAAAAAAAGTACATCGCTCGAGACGAGTCAAGGTAATGAAATTAAATAACGTTATGATATCGTCTACGCTAACAGCTTGCTCGGGGTCACCACCATGTATAAACAATAAGCATTTTTATATTTTCATGAAATCTTTTATTAATAAGCCTCCAACGTATTGCTGCAATAATTAATTTCAATGAAAAACCGTCATCGTAAAGGTGCTAGATTTATTTGTTTAATTCAGTCCACATTAATTTACTGTTATTTAATAATAATAGAATATTTTTATTTATGTCAGTTTTGTTTATGACCGTAGAACAGGTCGCAAATCAGGGCCAAAAGACGAAGACGTACCGAGGGTAATCCTTCCATAAGGTGGACGGGGGACCGATGGCGAGGATACGCTGGATTTGGCCAGCGGAAGGTCGATTGTTATGCCCAGCCTTAAAGGAATACTCTGTCCAGCGTTGAGTAGTAGCAGTTTAGTAAGCTTGCTTGGACAGATACTATCAACTTGCAGCAGTTTGCGTGAAATGCGATATGTGTAAGAAGGGAGTGAGCGAAGAAATGGTATATGATAGAGGAGTGTGGAAGGAGAAAACATGTTGCGCCCCAGGTGACTGAGTGAAGGGTAGGAGAATGATGATGAGCAATCATGCGTTAAGGTTTGATAGAACATCAAATATATTTGAGACTCTGACCTCATGTCTTTTTTATATTGCCCTTGTAGGTAGACGAGCATACGGCCCACCTGATGGTGAGTGGTTATCGTGACCCATGGACCTCAGCAATGCCAGGGGCAGAGGCAAGCCGCTGCCTACCGGAAAGGAGTCTCAAGGAGTCTGTATTTACGCTGTGGTGTCTATGGGTTCCGGTAGATGCTTCGTCTCGGACTGTTTGCCTCCATGGCGGCCATGTTACAAATTCGCACGGGATTCAAGCAGCTTGTCTATTTTTGCGATGAAGCAATCCTACGTTTCGGTCATAAGGTCGGTTCGGTTCGGTTATTAGGTATATTGTTTGGTAGCTATACCAATACAGCGCACTATGAATACACCCACCTAGATTAAACTTGTAGAACAATAGTAATCTGTTATTCCGAATTGTGATTGTTTGAAAAAGCATGAACGAAATGTATTCTCTGACACAATCGATTTTTTTATTTTTATATAATATCTTATATAACGCCAATCCATTAGTCATTTCTCAAATCAAACCCTCATCAGCGGACTTAGTTGACGAACATCGTATCATCAATTCGGAACTCCCTTGAATTATAACCGTACATTTCATTAGCAAATGGACCGATATTTCTAGAGATGTGACGTGAAGTTATGATTTATAACGATTGTGTTTTTTTTTTTTTATTCGTTTTTTTTTTGTTTCACTGAGAAGGCATTGTTCGTTTTTAAAAGCTTTGTCCGAATCAAACCTTTTTAGGAATAGCGTGGAACGTTTTTTTTTTTAATTCGCGGAAGGTTCTGGTTGCACTGTCCATTGTCATAGAATAGATAAATTGAAGGCAATCTTTGTGCAATACAGTTATTGAATCTATGCTTTTTATATTTAAGAATCGAATTTAATTTAGTTGGCTTGACTCGCGTAGATGCACAACATCATTTTAAATTATGTTTTTTTTTGTTGTATACGAAATATGATATATTTTTTTATCCATAATATGAGTTAATATAGTTCTTTTTGAGCTCACTTCGAAAAAGACGTGTAACTAGTCACACATTTCACTGTATATCGATTCAGATTGAAGATTTCAAAGACTTGTGCCTAACTCTTTTATAGGTTACACAGATTTATAAAGCATACTGTACCTATGCATAAAATTTTAACAAAAAAAGACTATTGAAAAGCGTGCAAATGTAGAACAATAAACAATGAATGCAAATTATGTCATCGCCCGTGAGGCACTTAAAATTTGAAAGACAGCGACAGAAATGCTACCGTAGTTTGTACAGTTAATTACTGATGATTTTTTCGTATTGTTCATTCGATTCTTTGATATTATTAATATAATCTTTTAGGGTGACCAATAAAAAAAGGAAATAACGGATTGTGTGTAATTTATTTGTTGTTAGCAAATTAAGGCAGCGGCTTGGCTCTGCCCCTGGCATTGCTGAAGTCCATAGTCCATGGGCGACGGTAACCACTCACCATCAGGTGGGCCGCGTATGCTCGTCTGCCTACAAGGGCAATAAAAAAAAAGTATTGCTGTTAACTGATTGTTATTGTCGAAGGATATGAAACCGCTTTTCTTACCTTATTTACTCTTATTTATCTCGTCTTTAACATCCTTAACGTATTGCAGGAAAAGCAAAGTACGCTTTATTGCACACTTTAGTAAATTACAAAAATAATTGTTGTAGAAAAGTATATCGGGTGGTCTTATTGCGTCAGGTTTGAGCCCCGTGAGCTCACCTACCAAGTTAAGGTTACGCTGAAATGGTCTCTCAAGACCATCAGCTTAAGTAGGATAAAAAAAAGGTCTTATTGCTCAAATGTATTTCTTATAGATAAACAATAAAAAAATACATTTAAATTTAATTTAATACTGAAAACTAAAATAGGTAATAATAGTTTTGTTTTATTCTGGCTAGCAGCGTGAAGACAAGAAGCCAAGGTAATAAAGCTATTGCTTACCGTCTTTGACAAGCGCGTTGTTTTTGAACTTCATAGAAGCTCTTTTAATGTATAAATAAGTCAAGCTAGTAAAAGCTTGTTGAAAACAACTAGTTTCCATCAGTTCGAACAACTGTTTTGACGACAGCATCGCATTTCATAAAAACTGCTAATATTAGAAATAAAATGACTTGATCAAAAAGCTTCAAGTGTTTGTGAATAGGTGCCTGCGTCAGATTTTGAAAATCTTTTGGCCTGAGAAGATCACTAACAAAGAGCTGTGGAGGATCACTAAGCAGACACCAATGGAGAAGGAGATCCTTACGCGGAAGTGGCATTGGATTGGTCGCACTTTGAGAAAGCCCGATACCCGCCTATCAAAGAGAGCACTGACCTGGAAAGTGTCTGGCAAAAGGAAGAGAGGCCGCCCCAGAACAACTTGGCGTCGCTCGGTGGAGCAGGAGCTAGGGGTCTTGGGCATGACGTGGGACGAGCTAGAACAGACCGCCCAAGACCGATATAAATGGAAAAATTTGATTCGAGCCCTAGCAGAGGGTAATAGGACAGAATGATGATGATTAGAAATAAAAAACAATTAAATGAACTATTATTTAATTAATCCAATTATCAAATACGAAAAAAAAAACCTTTACTGATTCCTCGATTTACACAATTGAAATGCACGAAATTTATTTTAACTTTTAGTAGGTAGGGCAACATTTAATTCGCCTGCTAAATGTGTATAAGTATGCGCGAAAGTACCTACATTCGTACCTATTTGTTATTTACGTTCATCTGTTGCTTACGGCTTACGTTGAATATTTTTACAAAATGACTTATAGTGCTCGCGGTACACGCTTGTTGAAGGCTTTGGAAAATTATTGCAATGGAAATAAGGCTCATTATTTTGATAGCAAAATGATCTTTAGTAAGGTAAGTTCAAGTAACTATACTGAGACCTTAGAACTTATATCGCATGGTATATGGCGCATTTACGTGGTATATGTCTATGGGCTCCAGTAACCACGTAACACCAGGTGGGCTGTGAGCTCGTCCACACATATAAGCATTAAAAATAATAATCAAGCAATAAAAAAATAATATACATATGTAAGAGGAAGGTATGAGTCGAATCCATTCTTGTTGAGGTCGCAGCCTGAGGTCATAAAAAAAAAACGAAAATGACTTTTAAAGTTTATTAAAAATTAAAGTGGTTACAATTAAATTTAAACTTAATTAATGCTACTGGTCTGTCTTCCGACGCTATGAATTCAGAAGTGTGGGCCCCGTGGCTGACTTCGAGGCTCCACGAGGTAAAGGTGCTGAATCGGCGTCCCCGCAGTCATGTGCGTCAATGTGCCATTTTTTTTTATTGCCTTTGTAGGCAGACGAGCATACGGCCCACCTGATGGTGAGTGGTTACCGTCGCCCATGGACTTCCGCAATGCCAAGGGCAGAGCCAAGCCGCTGCCTACCGCAAAGTTTCTAGGGTGTTGCAATGCTGTCTCAGCGTTCACGACAGTCGCGTACACCAATGTATACGTATGTGTAGTAAAATTCCTATTGCATATCGGCATATTAGATGGAGCTAGGGTATATAACATGCTTAATGCACAATATTATTATTTTTAGTTTTAAAATTCTTAATTTTATTTTATTATTATTTTTTCATTTTTCTCTAGCTTACTCTTAGCCTTACTAATCTAATGAAAAGTAGGAAAGCCGTAAATTCATATAAGTAACGACCAATCAGAGCAGAGCCCGTACCTTGAGCAGGGTTGAGGCGCCATCTTTACTTTCTGAAGGCGGCCATTTTCTGGGGCCAGATTGAAGCGATAAGAACGAATCGAGTTGGATCGTTGATGAGGGTGTTATTCATGAATACGGTGGTTAAGATCGCTGCCGGGTAACTGCTAAATTCTCTTACAATATTACTGTATAACAAAATATTGTAAGACACTAAATTAAAATAATGACACCTACTAAACTTGCAACCATTAGTGACGATGTCAGCGGGAACAACATTTCCCCGATATCAGAAGTGGGATCGGTACAGGCACAAAACCCGTCCGGGACGCGTTAATCGAAGCACAACAAACCAGCATGGGGTTACTCGTGGAGGCGCTAACCAATCCACCCAATATCGAGGATAACAGCATCACGCTGCCTCAGCTTGAATCGGATGCCCGGGCCTGGTTGGCTACAACGACATCTGCTTATCCCATTCTGAGATGCAGGGAAGTAAATGAATTCTTATTCTCAGTAAGGCCATGAAAGGGTCCGCCGCAGCATTGTTTTCTCAAATAGTTATTTTTAATATGAAATGGGTAGATTTTAAGGATTTTTTTCTTTCTCGTTGGATACGTTAGACACACGTGCAGCGGCGATATTGAAGATTCTTACTGGTAAACCACAAGAAGGTGAATGTCTTGCTGTATCTATCTGCAAGGAAGAAAAATAACTACTCGCTGTAAAATGCAATGTGAACTAATGGCTTTTTATTATCGCAGACGGAGTTACCAATACATGACAAAGGCCGTTGCAAAAGCTTACGCAAGATAATAAGAGACCCAGCTTAAGTTCTAGTTCAACAAAATGTTACGTTTGTGGAAATCTTGGCCATAAATCTTGAATGATTCAGTCGATCGCATTACAAGGAGCAAACAACTCCAACCTTTGAACGCCTCAATACAACTGTTTGCTATGCGTGCCCCTGCGACTTGCTACAAGTGTGGTGTTGAGGGTCATTTGGCATCGCGGTGCTCAAAGCATGGCCAATAGCAAGCAGCAGTAGCACAGCCGACCACCGCATCCAGCATTGTAAAGCGGGAGGACTTGTTTGCTATGAAACCTGTCACCGGGATAATTACACAATTTTGTGAAAAGTTTTCATTTTGTTTTGATTACAGTGCTGACTGGTCCTTAAATAAAGAAAGCGTCTCATGTAAAGCTTGTCAGTAATTTGCAGCATGAAATTGTTATTCTGAATGGAGAATAAGAAAGTCTAGTGTATTAAGTAACTCATAAATTTTATCTGGGGTCGCTTGTAGTGGTCATGATGTACAAATTTTATTTCACATTATACCTGATGAATAACAAGATAACGATATTTTAATTGGACGTGATTTGTTGACCTTTGGCTTATCGGTACAGCTTATTACTCGATATAAACTTACTATAGTTAAACTTACTATAGATGATAATGTGTAAGAAGGGAATGAGCAAAGAAATGGTATATGAAATGGATATGAGTATGGAAGGAGACAACATGTCGTGCCGACCCCAGGTGACTGGGAGAAGGGCAGGAGAATGATGATGATTTTACTGTAGTTGAAAATCCCTCTTTAGTTAATATTTTCAACTAAGGAAACGCGGTGGCTGACTTTCATGACTTGGACACTGATATACCCGACGACCTTAATCCACAATTGACAGAACTTCTTAGTTGGTTTAAGAACTCGCTTATTCAAGGTACGCCTTAGAGTAAAAGCGGGTTGAATTATAAATTAATTTAGTAGATCTTAGCAAAATCGTACAGCGGCGGCCTTATCACTTGAGCCTTGAAGAGCGAAGTACCTAATAAATCTAGTGAACAGTAAACTATATTATTATTAGCTGGAGTTATTAGACCAAGAAAATCGCCTTTCTGTAGCCTAATAACCTTAGCGAGGTGGCCACAGAAAGGTAAGATGGCCACAGAGAGGCGAGGTAGTCATAGAAAGGAGAGTTGGCTACAGACGACGAGGTGGCCACAGAAAGGTGAGGTGACCACAGAGAGGCGAGGTGGTCATAGAAAGGCGAATTGGCTACAGAAAGGCGAGGTGGTCACAGAAAGGTGAGTTGGCCACAGAAAAGCGAGGTAGTCAGAGAAAGGCGAGTTGGGCATAGGATGGTGAGGAGGCCATTTTATTATTAATAATTTAACAGATGTACGGCAATTAACAAAGAGGCAGCTGTTTTGTTGCTGCGGGCTTAATTTAGAATGTAGAATGGAGTGAGTATATTAGGATTCAGATGAGGACAGAAAATAGATTGCTTGCCCTCTTGCAGAAAATAGAAATGGAGCTGTTGTGTAGAGGATCAAAAATGTTATAATCTTGTAATGGTCGTGGGTCAGGAGTGGCCCATACAAGGAACCATACAAGAAGAAGTTTCTTTTTTTTTGCAGAAAATGATAATGCACGGTCATTAACACCACACGAGGGCGTGTAATGTCAGGACGGGCGTGTCAGATTACTGTTTACATTTATAATGCACAATATTATTATATTTATATTGTTATATATATTTTGCGTTGTAATTACTTTTAAAGTTCTTAATTTTTTTATCATTTCATTTTTCTATAGCTTTAAAACCTTACTAATCCAATAAAAGGTAGGAAAACTCTATATATATTTTTTTATTGCTTAGATGGGTGGGCGAGCTCACAGCCCACCTGGTTGTTAAGTGGTTACTGGAGCCCATAGACGAGCTCACAGCCCACCTGGTGCTAAGTGATTACCACAGTTAATAGACATCTACAACGTAAAGGCGCCACACACTTTGAGATATAAGTTCTAAGGTCTCAGTATGGTTACAACAGCTGCCCCATCCTTGAAACCGAAGCGCTTAACTGCTTCACGGCAGAAATAGGCAGGGTGGTGGTACCTACCCGTGCGGACTCACGAGACGTCCTACCACCAGTTAAGGATATAATTTTTAACCAATAAGTCTGACCCATAGTCGGAACCGTATACCTTGCAAAGATACCCATTCAGTGAACGATGTTCCTTCGGCATTAGAAAACCATCACAAAGTCGTTTCCTGTGAAGATAAAATCCAACTACTGCTTCATAATGATGACAATTGGTAAACGAATTACCTTATCGCATTACCACGTTCAATTTACGAAAAAACTATTTAAGTAACGTATTTTTTATGTTTTAAATTGACCGACTCAGTGATATGGTAATTGCTGCCCCGCTTCAAGGTTATAATGGTTTATTTTTGCAGCTAAAAACCACACACCTCACTGAGGGTTGCCTGAAAGGGTCATTTGTAGTTGATCCCTCAATGTGCAATATTGGTGATACTCTACATGGAGGTTATATGGCATCTGTGATGGACGCTGTCTCCTTGTATGCACTGATAAGCAGATCAGATGGCAGATTAGGCTGGACCACCAATATGAACATTAGGTATGTGATATTTTTTATAGTATGTGTATGGTGATGATCGAGCCAGCGATCCACCGGGTTTTAAATGGTTCCTCAATTTGAATGCTGTGACCTATTTTGAAATACGAAAGTCTTAGTTGCATTACGGCTGTCTCATCAGAGCGCATGGTTGCCAAGCGACAGTCATAGGTGGGATCCCAGTGCGGGCTCACGATATTCCCTATCGATCACATCCACGCTGTAATGAGAAGGTTCTTCTGTGACCGTTTTAGTCAAGATGACCTATGAAGAGTTGGCGGCCTTCGCTCACAGATGGCGCTGCAATAAAGACTTTAATTCCAGATAAATTTGTGTTTTAAATTAAACTCTACGACAGTTAAATAAATAAAAAAAGATTCAAGTCATTCACCGGAGATTGGGGAGCAGCTTTTTCTGATTATTAAGCCAGTGACGATCCGGCAGTCGATTCTGCGAAGCCCACTGCTTTCTCGTAGGTTGAGCCCGTAAGCTCGCCTACCCGTAGCTGGAATAGCCACTGAGGCTCCCAGCGAATAGGTAGGGAAAAAATTCCACCTCATATCTCAAGGTAGATTCTAAGATATTGAAATTCGAAAGTTGAGACTGGAAGAAGTGATTGCAATACAATCTACAGCGGTCATTTTAATTTACGACTCTAGTAAGTAGTCTGTTTAAAACTGAAATAAAAAAAAGGATTGTGTGGTTTTATGAAACTACGGTAAAAGTGAAACTTTTTTTCACATTATAGACATTTAACTCTGACAAACAACATTTACATTAAACACTGACAAAAACAAATAAAAAAATAGCGTGGGGCACTGGCACCAATCAGTAATAGTCTATACACTACACGGTCAGCTGCTGCGAACTATAGGCGCCGCCATATTGGCTTTGGCTGCTCTGACGAACGCCTTTCACTTTATCCCTACTCCGTGGCCGACCGTCACGCGACATGCAACACACAGACGAAAAAGTTTGAGACGATGTAATAAAAGTTTCACTTTACTGATTTCATTTATGCGTTTGTCTACGTGGTCTTTTGTTTTTAAGTTACCTCAAACGTGCCAGACTTGAAGATACAATAACAGTGGAGTCGAATTTACTAAAGGGAGGCGCGAGTTCAGTGATGGAAGTCATTCTGCATGACGGCGAAGGCGCACCGGTGGCCAAGAGCACGACCTCGTTCATCTCTGGAAGTGACAAGTTTCAGAAAATCTTGAAAGATAACTTAGATTTTGATGTGTTTGAAAATTAAGTAATTCTATTTCCACAGTAATTGGTTTGTGGGAAAAAAAATTAGTTTTGTGAGCGAATAAAAAATATTATTGTTCTTGATTGTGTAATTGAAAAAACAAAAACCATGTTACGGAACCATGTTCGGAGGCGTTCACCCATCCAAGTACTGACCGCGCCGGACGTTGCTTGACTTCACTGATCGGACGAGAGCCGGCAACTTCAACGTATTGTCGATGTTTTTATATAGGTTAATTAAGAATTTAGAACAACTTTATAACCTTTCACAAGTAATTGGTTTTAAATAATCTGCAATTCTTTAATTAGCTACCTACTTAAGATTTTAAGGATAATCTTACTTTTTAACGGTAACGAGGTAATATGATATCCCTATAATTTGCTGAGACATACTTGAGAGCTCTCAGTTCAGTGGTGACGCTAACTCATCGCGAATTCCACTGATATCTAATATTGTAGTAGTCCTACAGCTGCCCCATCCTTTAAGTCAGGTTTGGTTCGACACGAAGACGCATCACAAGAAAGTGTTTGACTTAGACATTTCCAGTTCAAAATACGACCAAGAATGTGGTAAATAAATTGGTATAAAATAATCAACTGATGTCTTTATGTAGACGAATATTAATGTGAGTGAATTGTAATTATGTTTATTTATATGCGAGAGTTCGCAGAAGCACGTGCTTAGATTTTTGGAAATAATCTACGTACAAAATATATGTGGTGCCTTTTTATTGGTAAGAGAACTTTGGGAGTCTTCAACATGAGAGCGTTAATCAGGTCAAGATTAAGGATTCATCCAAAAAGGTCGTAATCCCTATTCACACACGGAGGAATCAAGGGTTCTTCAGAATAGAGTTGTATCTTTAAAAACGGCATTAAAGAATCGATTGTTTTATCGATATACCATAAAATAGTAAGCTTTACTTGCTAGCCTCTCTCTATCCTCTATTAATTTAGGTTTTTATTCCTGACCCCCCAATCCTAAATACATAATTCTACTGATGTTAGAATGTGTTATCAACTCGCCTATCCCAGCCTATTTCGGCCAGGAAGAAATCGGGTGTTCGGCATTTAATTTAATTTTTAAATTTCCTTTTAAAATTTTTTTTTTATTGCTTAGATGGGTGGACGAGCTCACAGCCCACCTGGTGCTAAGTGGTTACCGGAGCCCATAGACATCCACGACGTAAATGCGCCACCCACCTTAACATATAAGTTCTAAGGTCTCAGTATAGTTACAACGGCTGCCCCACCCTTCGAACCGAAACGCATTACTGCTTCACGGCGGAAATAGGTGGGGTGGTGGTACCCACCCGTGCGGACTCCCAAGAGATCCTACCACCAGTGATTACGCAAATTATAATTTTGCGGGTTTCATTTTTATTACACGATGTTATTCCTTCACCGTGGAAGTCAATCGTGAACATTTGTTGAGTACGTATTTCATTAGAAAAATTGGTACCCGCCTGCGGGATTCGAACACCGGTGCATCGCTATACACGAATGCACCGGACATCTTATCCTTTAGACCACGACGACTAAATTTCTTTAATTCCACCTCTGGTCTCAAAAGCGAGTGACGAAATTTACGCTGGCAAGGTTAGGAGCCCAGAATGGCTACCATAGCCATCGTTCACCCATCCAAAGTGATAAAAATATCGATAAAAACCTCGATAAATTCCAGCTGCTTCACATCCCTATTCGAGATGTCCGTTCCCGAATCGACGCATCCGGTCGGCACTTTGTCGCGGTCTCGCCGGAAGTACACTCAGTACTATATCCTATCCACTTACAAGTCATTGTATCTTCGTACATTCTTTCTTGGTATAAAAAAAAAAATACTTGGTTCAGGATAATTTTGATGCTGTTCGCTGACTATCTCTCTCATTCTTGTCTTCACCGGTTCCTTCCACTTGCCTGATGAGTAGCGCCGATATCAGATCCGTCTGTTGGTTTGTTTGCTGAAGATAGTATTTGGCGTCAAGCACATCCTATAAATATCACAACATGAAGGACCATTCACCTTGAGAAATGTGGTTGAAATCTCATCTCTATTACTTTACGATTGTCCTTTAAACTGGTATGCGTTGTTTCAATATTGAGTCTTCTTAGATAAGCTTGGGAAATAATTATAACTAATATAATTAAAGTTAAAAATAAAAAATAAAAATTAAAAAAAAATATTGCACTTACAGCACAATGTTCTTAATCCACCCATGTCAAATGGCAACGGGTTCCTAGTATCTTATATACATAGCTAGTATATATATTATGTAGACGGGTTACCAGTTCCTTATACAGCTATTATACATGTAGGTATTCTTTGGTGTACAGCTTTTAATTAGTAACTTGAAATATGACATAGAAAGAGAGTAGGTTATTTCCGTCTTATTTTCTTGGGAATTAAATTTAATTTGCTTGGCGAAAATTTCTTCGATTGATTGATTGATTGCACGGAACGATCGAAAATGTTTTTCCCACCGATTGCTGCCAGCTTTTATGACAGTGAAGATAATAAATCATGAACCAGCGTGATGATGTAGTTTCGTTACGTATTTTTACACAACCTACGTCGCATTTTAGATCCGGTGGTAGATTCAGCGAAGCACTGCTCCTCTTTGGGTCAGTGTTAGCAATTCTTCTGCGTAAGCCGCAGAGGGCCGATGGCCGTCAGAGTCGTCCGCGGGTACCGCACGATTTCCTACGGGGCGGCTTGCGTCCTGGCCGGATCTCTGCTCTGGGACCTAGAGGCGAAAGTACTCGCGTCATTATATCGATGGCGCAAGGAAGAGCGGGCACGGGGCTCGAGGCCGATGCAGCGGCATATTGCGCTGCGCCGAGAGGAGCTCTGTCAGGCCTTGGTGACGGAATGGCGGCAAAGGCTTCTGCGCCCTACCGTCGGCCTCGCAACCGTCGAGGCGATCCGGCCAGTACTCGACGACTGGCTCGGGAGAAGGCACGGCTCCCTGTCGTTTAGGGTGACACAGGTGCTGTCGGGGCATGGTTGCTTCGACAAGTACCTGTGCCGCATAGACAGGGAGCCGGAAGCTCAGTGCCACCACTGCGTTCGCTGCGGAGAGGACACGGCGCAACACACGCTCGCCGAGTGTGTAGCTTGGGAGGAGCAGCGCCGTGTCCTCACAAATGAAGTAGGAAGCGATCTGTCGCTGCCGGCCGTAGTGTGGAGGATGGTCGGCAGCGCAGAGTCGTGGGACGCGGTGGTGTCCTTCTGCGAGGACGTGATGTCGCAGAAGGAAACTGCGGAACGGGAGAGGGACATCTCGACTCCCTTACCCGGCCGCAGAAGGCGCACCGGGCGCAGGAGAAGGGCGGACAACGCCCTTTTCCGCCCCCCATGAATGGGTCCAGGGGCGAGGGAGTTGGGAAAGCCCCCGCCCCCTATTCGATGGAACCGAGACGGAGGCGCGTGCGGGTGTCGGCGCGTGCCTCTGAGGCGATGCACGGGGTAGCTGAACGCCTCACTACCCCGTGCAGGAGACGAGGCCTGGACAGACCGGGCCAGCACTGGTGTGGGGCTGCGGAAGAATTTCGATTCCCGCGGCCCCGCGCGCGCGTGTGGGTAGACACCGGGGTGGTTTTATCCGGTAGGAGTCCGGCACGCCCCTCCGCCTTTCCCCAGGCGGAGGTAGTCCATGACGATTTCCCCCGAAAAAAAAAAAAAAAAAGTGTTAGCAATTCTCTTAAGTTGAACCCGTGAGCTCGCCTACCGTAAGTAATTGGAATAACCCCTTAAGGTATTAACGATTAGGTAGGGGAAAAAATTTCATCAGGCGCTTAGGCGTAAACTGAATCGTTCTTGTCTTTGGCGTTGTTAAACCAAACCAACTGGCTGCTTTTAAATAGGGTTTTTGGGGTCATTGGCTCCATTGCGTAATAAAGTGATTACGATGGAATTTGGATTGTCCTAAATTCGTCTGACATTTGTTTTATGCTAAATGGATTGTAGCTCAGATTACCCGGTATAACCATATTATAAATATATAAACGAAATATCACTGGCTTATCTCGAGTCCTCCGAAACTGGCCATAGACTTTAAAATTGGCAGACACCCTTTTTGCATGAATGTATTGTTCCAAAAAGTATTTTTTAATCTAAAACCGCACACAGTTGCCTCGGTAACCGTTGTTATAGAGCTGACATTTCTTGGATCAAAGAGTGTGTAAAGTGTATAATCCATGGTGATACAAGCAACGGGAAAATTCGGGAAAATTCATCGTGTTTCATTGACAGATGACTAAAAAAATTAAAAAACGGTGCGTGTGCAACTTAGTGCACCTGAATGAAGGGAAACTTCTTTTTCTTTTTCTTCTTCGATATGTATTATTGTGGTTTTCTTCATTTTTCGTTCTTAAATCAGATTGCTGTATTACAAGAGCAATCTGATGTGGAACTGAGTGCGCTGGTGGTAGGACCTCTTGTGAGTCCGCGCGGGTAGGTACCATCCCCCTGCCTATTTCTGCCGTGAAGCAGTAATGCGTTTCGGTTTGAAGGGTGGGGCAGCCGTTGTAACTATACTTGAGACCTTAGAACTTATATCTCAAGGGGGGTGGTGCATTTACGTTGTAGATGTCGATGGACTCCAGGAACCACTTAACACCAGATGGGCTGTGAGCTCGTCCTGCCACAAGAGCATTAAATTTTTTTTTAACAAAAGCGTTCCAACATAAAAACACAATATTGTAGTCACATCTGTTTATTGCTGAAGCAATAATTAAGCAAAAATGTATACATCGTAATGAATTTTTGATCCGCGCTCGCTCTTCATGCGGAGATTGACGAAGTTATAGCCGATTCCGCCTTGGGTGATGTTCGCAGAAGCAGTGCTATAGGTTTTGTCGAAGGCCAGAATGCCCTGAAAAAATAATTCAACGATTTAATACCTTAATTATAAATTTGTTTTCTTTAAATTCTCATATTTGACGTGACTACACGGTCAGCTTATCAGAAACGCCGTTTTTTTATGATTCAAGGATTACTGGTGGCCCGGAGGCCTTTCCAGTTTCACCAGGACAGGTGGGCGAGCAAGGCTCAGCCAGGAGGGGTGGGATTTGCTGTCCGAGCGCCTCCGAAGAAGACCTAACAACTCAAGAGCAGCTGCTTCGCGAATGAATCTACTACCGGATCGGAATCACGACTCGCTGAGAAAATCCCGCGAGAAACTCAGCGAGCTGATGCATGGGTTAGGTTGCGCGTCGAACTCTTTATCGAGTTTGACGAGTACGGTTACCGGGGTCCCTAAACCTGCTCCTAGTGTTAGAGAAGCGCCGTCTTGATACAGCGTCGGCCAGAAAAAATGCGTAATATGTTTCGTATTCACGGACGACTAGATATACAAGACTAGATGTCCAAATACACTCGGGTGGGTACCGTCCTGCCCATTACCTTTGAGACTTCGATCTTACGTCTGTGGATTCTAGTAACTCGTCAGCTGGCCTGTCATGACCTAGTCCACGTATATAGTGCAACAAAAAATCTTAATACTTTTGTCTTTAATTGGATCAACGGTCAAAATGTTATTTGGATTAGCGGAAGTTAATTATAAAGTTTATCCCGTACTGAATCGACTGGTACGTGTATATCCTTGTTATATATATACCTTCGGCTGTTATTTACCTATTTTTACGTCGGTAGTAGTACTGTCAAAGGTACATTGACACGATCGAAAACATTTGAAACAAAAAAAAACGATTTGAGAAAAACAAAAAGACTCCTTGTTATTTTTATTCTCGAAGTCTGGAAGTATTTGATTTAAACGGACCTCACTACTGAGTTTCTCGCCGGATTTTCTTAGTGGGCCACGATTCCGATCCAGTGAGAGATTCTGCGAAGCACTGCCCTTGCCAGTGTTAGCAAACCCTTCCACGTTGAGTCCATGAGGTCACCTACCGATCTGCGACTAGTTATAATAGCCCTTTACGCTACCAATAATTGTACAGGGAAAAAACCTCTGCATAAATTATTATATATTTATTTAGCAAATTGAGAACTACATAAAAAAGTCGTGACTAACCTGAATGGACCTCCCGAATATGGAAGGTACATGAGGCAAGCTGAAATGGAGGTTTTCAACTCTCTTACGGAACATTTTCGAGCTGTACTGCACGTCATGGTGGTAGACCAAGGGTCTATTGACGCTGGTGCCGACGAAAGTGTGACCGCATTCCACGATCACCGCAGCGGCGAGTAGCAACACAACGATTTGCAACTTCATCATGGCAAATGGCACTGAACAACTGTGAGCTACGAGGAAATGCACCCGTTAAATATTCTGATGATTTTTTTTTTGTGAATCAGTGCAGTGTAAATAATTCGGAGCTGGTTAATTCTGTTTTTTTTATATACTTCGCCCAACGCAGGAACGATATTAATTTCCCCTGTGTTACGGGGACCTAAAATTTTACTTGTGCTAGGACGTCTTGTGCGGCTAACATTATTGCTTATGTCATTTTGTTACATTATCGTTTAGGAACTTAGTATTTTCTTATTTTCGGGAGTCGTAGCCATAATTACAATTACTTTTACGGTTTATTTAATAAACTCGCGTTTATTTTTGTCACGTCGGTCGCCCGTGGACTTTTTTTTTTTTTCCTAACTAAGCTGATAGCCTTAGAGGCTATTTCAGCGTAACCCTAACGTTTGTAGGTGAGCTCACGGGGCTCAAACCTGATGACGTTGCTAACACGAACTCTAGCAAGAGCCGTGCTTCATAGAATCTACCACCGGATCGGAAACGCGACCCACTGAGAAGATCCGGCGAGAAACTCAGTGGGCTGTGTCTGGGAGTTAATTTACTCATCGAGCCCTTCGTCGCAAGCGACGGGTTCGACGAGAACGGTGACCGGTGCTTGAAGTACCTAGAAGCAGCACGTTAGTGGATCGGGAGGATCCGAGATGACGTGTTTTGGGCGACGTCGACTGCTTTCCATTCTGTGCCAGATTCATTACCGCATTTTAATTGTAATGTTATAATAATAATTTAATTGTACATTTTCCAGCTTACGTTACTTAAGCTGTGGTGCAACTAACTATTGAATAAATGAAATATATTATCATTTTAATGATTAAAATAATATCTAGTTTGGTGCATTTTAATTGAAGTTTATGTTTTAATGACTTCATTAGTATTAATGTACTTTTAATAGATTGATAAACGATCAAACTAATTTTATATAATTATATTTATAAAGTATATTTTTTTCAGGATGAAAAAATGTTTTTCGCTGTGTATCCGCTTGGCACTGATTGACAAATGTTCTCATTATAAATGCTTAGACGACTCAACAGTATTGATTTTGATGTTCTCTCCCGGAACCATAACACTTAGTAGGCCGTAGGTAGATTCATTAACGTACTAACAAAAATGAATGAAAAAAAAAAAAGGTGACAGCTGTCACTTTGTCACGCTTATAGGCGATAATCACTTAAAATCAGACAGGCCATGATCTTGTCGGCTCATCTAGAGAATGACTTTTTTAAATGAAATTCAGCGAGTTTTCCCTTATAAAAAGAGTGAAAAAAACGTTTTTTATATTGTTTAAATTGCTAATATGTAATAATAATAAGAGTTTTATTCCATGCATATATATTTTAAATATAAAGAAGAAAGAGAAGAAAGGAAATAAAGTAGTAATGTTATTACACGTATTTCACTTCATTTCCTTCCTCTCTCTCTCTCTCTCTCTCTCTCTCTCTCTCTCTTCCCCTTCCTTTTAAAAGTATAAATCTAAAAAATGATTAAAAAAAATTAAATTGTGAATATAGAAGTTTGTTTGCTTGGACTTCTCCTCAAGTGAAAGTGAAGGCCTCGTCTAAAGAATAAATTAAATTGCTAAAGCTCTTCTTAAAATTGCCTTATATGTTTATATAGATAAGTTTAGATGACTAAACTAAGATATGGTTATTGTTCGGTGGTTCTACAGCATGTAGCTGTAAAGGATAAGACATCCTGTGCATTCGTATCTAGCGATGCAACGGCGTTCGAATCCCGCAGGCGGGTACCAATTTTTCTAGTGAAATACGTACTTATCAAATGTTCACGATTGAATTCAATGGTGAAGGAATAACATCGTGTAATAAAAATCAAAACCGCAAAATTATAATTTGCGTAATTACTGGTGGTAGGACTTCTTGTGAGTCCGCACGGGTAGGTACCACCACCCTGCCTATTTCTGTCGTGAAGCAGTAATACGCTTCGGTTCGAAGGGTGGGGCAGCCGTTGTAACTATACTGAGACCTTAGAACTTATATCTAAAGGTGGATGGCTGCATTTACGTTGCAGATGTCTATGGCTCTAGTAACCACTTAACACCAGGTGGGCTGTGTGCTCTTCCACCCATATAAGCAATAAAAAAAGCCTCAATAGCATTGGGGAGTTGCATTTGGGGTGTTGTGTTTCCAGTGATCGCCTTACGTTAGGTGAGCCGTGACCTCTCCTCATCTTCAATACATATTATTATAATAAAATCGTAACTGGTCGCTGTCTGTACATGGAAGATATCTCAGGAAAACTGTTATAAGGGGCTTTATGAACACAATAGAACCCACAAAAATGATTTTTAGAATTTTTGTCTGTTTATCTGTTTGTCTGTGCGTTTGTGCACGCTAATCTCAGAAACAGCTGTGCCGATTTAAATGTGGTTTTCACTAATTTATTGTGGTAAACTTTACTTAACATTTAGTGTTTGTTTCATGTCAATCGGTACAAAAATAAAAAAAGTTATGCCAATTTAAAGAATTTAGCTGGGCGTTTGTAGATTGTTTACGTCTGTGCAGCCGCGCGGGTATACAAAGCGCGCCGATGCCGCGCCGCTGCTTCCTTGGCGAACCCGTCGCTTGCGACGAAGGGCTCGATGAGTAAATTAACCCATAGGCACGTTTGTTTTCTATAGTTAAAAGATTAGGTTGACACGATTTAATAGTTATTAATAATTAATAAACTATAATAAAGTTAAACTGTATAATAATCTGTATGTATTTATAATTTAGTTTTATGATAAGTACGTTCGGCTCAGCGAGAATTTCGATTGAGTTCACAATGTTCTCAAAAAAAGTCCACTCGAATTAGGGTGAACAGGGAACAACGTGACGCAAGTTTGTCCATCGATCGTGAATCTTATACACTATCGCGTGAGTCTGAGACTTTCACTGATTGGGAATCCCGCCTGAGCTCCTTAGAGGGTTTGGACGGCAAATGCCCGGTTTTAGGAGACACTTGAAGAACGAGAAACACGTCTCACTGCCGATCGCGAGGCGCATGCACTATCGCTTGAGTCTGAGACCTTTACTAATAGGGAAATCCGTCTGAGCTTTCAGAGCTCAGCTCTCGGACGGCTCGGACAGCAATTACCTGGTCTCAGGAGACACTTGAAGAACGAGAAGCACGTCTCTCTGCCGATTGCGAGGCTCATGCACTATCGCTTGAGTCTGAGACCTTTACTGATAGGGAAATCCGTCTGAGCTCTCAGAGGGTTCGGACAGCAAATGCCCAGTCTCAGAAGAGACTTGCAGAATGAGAAGCACGTCTCACTGCCGATCGCGAGGCCCATGCACTATCGCTGGAGTCTGAGACCTTTACTGATAGGGAAATCCGTCTGAGCTCTCAGAGGGTTCGGACAGCAAAAGTTTGCCCGGTTTCGGGAGACACTAAAAGAACAGGAAGCACAACTCACTACCGATCGCGTTTCCAGCGAGCCCATGCTTCGTGATGATAATAAATAAAGCCCAAGGTCAGACGCTAAACGTTGTGGGTGTAGATATAAGTGTTAACTGCTTTTCACACAGTCAACTCGGTCACACGGTTATGTAGCTCTGTCACATGTTAGCAATCCTAGCAACCTGTATGCTTTGATCCCCGATGGCTATACGTCTATGTCGTGTATAGAGAAGCATTACTTTAAATTAGATTTTTCTAAATACCCAAATGACGGTGCTTATAAACCAAAAGATAATATATGTCCTAAAACTGCTGCCCAAAGTCGCTATTCCACGCGGACGGAGTCGCGGGCACAGCTAGTAACTAATAAAAACAAGTAATAGTTATCCTCCGATACACGGCAGGATATTCGTAGACTATACGTTTCAAGCTTAATAATAACTACTTAATATGTTAAAAATAAATCCGTAGTATTATTATATTACAATAACATTTGTACTATGTTAACGCATAGTATAAAATGTTTAAGGATAAACTGAATTTAAATCCCAAATAAACTATACATATGTAACCTCTATACGATTAACCTTAAAGAGGTTAATATGTTATTTATATCATTCTTATATAGATGACATAAATAGAATTTCGATTATTGAAACATTAGAACATTAGACATATAAAAAGAGCATTTTTGCAATATTATTTTAAAATATAAAAAGATATAAAAATAATGATGAAGCAATAGCTTTAAATGTTGTTTCTCTTTATAAGAGCAACTCAATTGCTATAGTTTTACAAAGCTAAACTGTATTTTGATTTAAATAAATAAATACATTATACATATTATATCGATGTCAGATTTAATTTCGATGATATATCGAATCAAATAATATTCTCCCAGAGTTTCAATCGGGTTTCAGAAAAAGCCGAGGAACGGCCGCTGCTCTTACTGACATTGTGGGTAATATTCTCGAGGCTCGGGACAGGAGCCAGGGTACGATACTGACGCTACTGGATTTCTCACGGGCTTTTGATACAATTAACACTGCCTTACTCTTAGCAAAATTAACTCACTACGGGTTCTCTGATAATGCTGTGCAATGGTTTAGCAGTTATATGTCGAGTAGAACGCAATTTGTACAGATACGGAAAGAAGATGGAACTAAACTAACCTCTACTTCTAAGCCGATTACTAGAGGCGTTCCCCAAGGTTCAGTCCTGGGACCATTGTTGTTTATTTTGTACAGTGCAGATATCATTCAGTGTTTCAAGAATTGTAAATATCATATTTATGCTGACGATGTACAAATATACCACTCTTTTGATGTTGGAGATACCCCTTCTGCTGTCAGTTTTATCAATGAGGATCTGCAGAGGATTGTCTCTTGGTCTGAACAGAATTCCTTAGTACTGAACCCCTCTAAGTCTAAATACATGATACTAGGCAGTAAATCTCAGATAGCAAAGATTTTATCACTCGATCCTAAGGTGACTGTTTCTGGTAAGGAAATTGATCGGGTGGAGTTAGCATGCAGTTTGGGTTTGACAATTGATCCCGAATTGCGATTCGAGGCCCATATTACAAAGAACTTAAGAGCTTGTTTTTACAGACTGAAGATTCTGTACTCGTTTAGACAGTACGTCAGTGTACCCATTAGGAAGTTGCTTATCGATAGTCTAGTTTTGTCGAAATTAAATTACTGTGATACTGTTTATGGTCCCTGTTTACTCTCGAGAACTGAAAAATTAATACAACGCATTCAAAATGCCTGTGCCAGGTATTGCTTTGACATTCCCGTGAGAGGACACATAACGCCCTATTTAAATGATCACAATATATTGAAAATGGCAGCTAGAAGAAGGTTGCACTTAGCAGTCTTACTATTTGGAGTGATTTCGACACATGAACCTAGGTACTTGTATGAGAAGTTGGATTGGAGAAGTACTCAGTACAGGTATGGCTCACGAGCTACTGTTAAGCCATTGTTGACGCCCAAATACAGAACAGCTGCTTTTCGGGGAGCGTTTAAATACGCAGCTACGCATTGCTGGAATGATCTCCCACCACCTATTCGTCACATTGTAACAAAGCATGGCTTTATTAATCGTTTAAAATCATTTCTTTTGGACTCACAAAAACTAATCTAATTTATAGTATTTATAGTAACTAATTTAATCCTAGCTTGTGAAAACTTCTTTTTATTAAATTTTTATTTATTTTTATTTTTTTTAAGCTGCCCACAGGTTGTTATTACTGTGTGCTTATTATGTTTTGTATTCGGGTTCACCATTTAATTTGATTTTTGTTTTGTTTTTTTCTTAAATTTTTGGCTTTGTTTTCGGGTTCACCATTTAATTTGATTTTTATTTTGTTTTTTCTTAAATTTTTATAATTTACTAATTTTACTAATTTATATCATATTCTGAGTATGTACACACGTACAGAGTCTTCATTCCCGCAAAGAACCAAAGGGAAACGGGGGTGACTGAAAATCAGCGTTGTTCAATTTATCAACCTTGAACAGCAATAGCTGAGCCACCTCCTTTTGCCTTTTTCTCTTTTTTTTGCTTTTCTTGTTTTTTGTATTTCATTTTATGATGTGAAAGGCAATAAATGATCTTTATTATTATTATTATTATTATTATTTACTCAGTCAGACTTAGGCAGCGGGTTGGCTCTGCCCCTGGCATTGCTGAAGTCCATGGGCGACGGTAACCACTCACCATCAGGTGGGCCGTATGCTCGTCTGCCTACAGGGGCAATAAAAAAAAAAGATTTACTTATGGGAACTTGTCAACAAAACTAATCACTGTTAAGGCAAACAAATCTCCACCATGCATGATATATTTATTGTAAATATCAGTTCTACAGTGAGGAATTCTGAGCTGGGGCTATGCTGATTATAGATGATCGAATATGAAGGCTCAGATCCATTTTTAGTTACTGAGCGACAGGGGTAGAAATAAATAATGATAATCGAACCAATTTGATGTTAGATTTTGTTTTAGTCATTTTCTTATTTCGGTCACGTGATGTACAATGCATTCGTGCAATCATTCAATAGTTTATTGTTATTGTAAACTGTGTTCTTACCTCGTCGATGGGGAGCCTAGAAACATAAATTATGGAGGGTAGCGAAATTAGCGCGTAGTGTAATTAAAATTTTACTTCTTCTATCCCACAAGTCTTTTTTTATTATTGAAGCTTCCCCAGGACAGATGGGACCCCACAAGTTGCTTGAGTGGCAGCCTACGGACGCACAGGCCCCAACTATAGTTCGGATAACTATGGCTTGGAAAGCAGTGAACTCTTTTAAACTTGTGATAAAAAACAGAGCGAGAACCCGTTATCTTCATAAGCCTCGTTGTCAATCCACTGATATCCATTAAGTAAGATATTTTATATATCTAGTCGGACGAATGAATACATGTCCTGTCCGGTATTAAGCGGTTACTGGAGCCCATAGACCTCACGTGAACACCCCCACCCGGCTCGAGACATCAGGCCGAAAGCTCAATTATATTTTATAATACTACGTTTCAAATCAAAATACAAATATAAAAATACGAAAAGCATATGAGTACATAAATTAAAGAGAAAAAAATTTAATGATAGACTCAAATAAGTTCTTTATTTGATCAATCATGTCCGCGGGTATTTATGCGATGCGTGAACACTATCCGAACTATCATATATTAATACGTGAAGCAAAAACTTTGTTTCCCTTTTTACGAAAATTGCGCGGACGGAGGAGCATGAAATTTTCCACACTTATAGAGAATATAGAGAAGAAGTACACAATGCTAATTTTTTTTTTAATAATGCATAAAAGATACATTAAATCAATAAAGAAAACATTACACACACTACCATGTATTGGACACACACACATATACTCTTTGTTTATTGTCAAACTTTTGTTCTTGACGTATGTGGTCAAATTGAGAATAGATTAAATATTGTTTGTCTTTATTTATTTATTTTTATAGTGTAGCCTTGGCGAAATTTGTGATTATAGAAGTATAAAATACAATCATAATAGTGTACAAACCTACAATTCCAATTAATTATAGTCGAATTTCGACTACTGCGGGACATCTAGTAATAAATTATTGCATACTAGCAACCAGCCCTCGCTTCGCTTCGGAAACCTTAAATTTTATTATTGATAGCTGAGTCCCGCGATGCTACCCGCGGTTATTGTCGTACCGCAGGTGACGACACGGTGCGAAACTAGTCTCAAGTAGCCTAAGTTACTCCTTATATCATCAGCTACCTATCAGTGAAAGACTCGTCAAAATCGGTCCAGCCGTTCCAGAGATTAGCCGGAACAAACAGACAGACAGACAGACAGACAGATAAAAATTGTAAAAAAGTTATTTTGGTGTATGTACCGTATATATATTCACATGCATGTAGTAAAAAACGATTATTTCCATATTACAAACGGACACTCCAATTTTATTTATATGTATAGATGTCAACGTATCTCATCTACTGTTTCGAATGTCACGAACGCGTTCTAAGTACAGCTGTAGTCATAATAATATTTTTATAATAATAATTTATTTATTTCTCTCTTAAAGGTATTGTGGCGGGTAGCCATCTTACAACGCAACATATTTGACAGATGCCTGAATCTTGCTTACGACATTTTCAAGATAAAGCGCATATATACAAGTTCCGAACAACAACATAAGGACCGTCGGTCTACGAGCAATATCACCTGCTCGGTGGAAGATCTTCCTTTCGTCGTTAATCCTCCTTACAAACTGGTGCCTGCGACGAGATGTATTGTGAACACGCAACCTTCTGATTCATCATCAGCGCATCAAGAACTTCGGCTACCACAATCCCCGCATTCTCGCAGATAAAAGCAAGTACAAATACATATGGAAATTAACCTTATAATTTATTTTGTAAGCCTTTGAAAGAGCTGAAGTCTGTACTAGGTTCGAAGACCTGTATTACTGATCTCCAGGCTCCCTCCTTCTTGAGATAGATTAGGTTAGGTTAAGTCGTGAACAGATGCTGCGGACTAGTGTTGAGAGATCATTAGGTGTTATCATTATCATTTAAGGTCATTATGCGTGTGTGTGTGTGTGTGAATGTGTGTGTATTTGTGTGTGTGTGTGAGTTTGTGTATATGTGGGCGTGTGCGCGCATGCATGTTGTATTGTGTATGTGTGAGTGTCTGCATCTATGAGTGATTGAAATCCTAGAAAATAAAACATACTTAATCTGTTTGTTTAATATTTATTGATTGCTCAAACAATATTTAAACGTAGATGTAGACATCGTAATTAAGCTTGTTTCCGCGTTCGCTCTTCATACGGAGATTGACGAAAGTGAACCCGATTCCACCTTGAGTGATGTTAGCGGAAGCGGTGGTGTGAGTCTTATCATAGGCCAGAATGCCCTGAAAAAAAAAAAACGAAGAATTTAGTGCGCTCACAATTCAAAAGTACGTCGTAACTCGTCGTGGCCTAACGGATAAGACGTCCGGTGTATTCGTGTTGAGCGATGCACCGGTGTTCGAATCTCAGGCGGGTACCAATTTTTCTAATGAAATACGTACTCAACAAATGTTCACGATTGATTTCCACGGTCAAGGAATAACATCGTGTAATAAAAATGAAACCCGCAAAATTATAATTTGCGTAGTTACTGGTGGTAGGGCCTCTTGTGAGTCCGCGCGGGTGGGTACCACCACCCAGCCTATTTCTGCCGTGAAGCAGTAATGCGTTTCGGTTTGAAGGGTGGGGGAGCCGTTGTAACTATACTTGAGACCTTAGAACTTATAGCTCAAGGTGGGTGGCGCATTTACGTTGTGGATGTCTATGGGCTCTAGTAACCACTAAAACACCAGTAAAACACCAGGTGGGCTGTGAGTTTGTCCACCCATCTAAGCAATAAAAAAAAAACCGTAATATTGTTTCCAATATATGTATACAAATGTGTTTATCTATTTCACTATCGCAACATCTGCTATCGGTGCGCACTTTATTCAAGCTGGTACCACTGCGTTTATCCACAGTACGTTTCCGTAGATCTTTTAACAACATACCTTCTGAAAACGGAATAGTTTTTGACTGTGAATTACAAGTACCCATGAATAAACAATTCTGGGTACCGCTGGGAAAACAGTATTTTTCGAGAAGATCACCCCATCCTACTACGACTCAAAACTGCAATTTTACCATGCTTACCATTATTACACAAAAAGCAGCAATTATTTTTAACTAAATGAGCAGTCCAGTTCTTGATATCTAGATCCTAAATTCCGTGGACTGCAGTGGGAAAATATATCATTTGAAAATCACGATCAATCAAGCCCGTCTTGAGAGACTACATCGACCTTGAATGCATCAGTGTAAAGGCTATATGTTTTTTTTTTTTTTTTGCTTATATGGGTGGACGAGCTCACAGCCCACCTGGTGTTAAGTGGTTACTGGAGCCCATAGACATCTACAACGTAAACGCGCCACCCACCTCGAGATATAAGTTCTAAGGTCTCAGTATAGTTACAACGGCTGCCCCACCCTTCGAACCGAAACGCATTACTGCTTTACGGCGGAAATAGGCGGAGTGGTGGTACCTACCCGTGCGGACTCCCAAGAGGTCTTACCACCAGTGATTACGCAAATTATAATTTTGCGGGTTTGATTTTTATTACACGATATATAGGTACTACTTGCATAGTATATACTTTAAAATATGAAATACTAGATAATATCTTATATTTATATGATTTAAAGGCAATGCATTAATTTCTGCTTCAAAATATTTTGTATTCACAACTACCTATCATTAGTTTAATAAACATAGCTATCAGAAAAAATGAAATATTTAATATTGCCTGAATCCCTCTAACTACACTTTTTTTTTTTGTTTCTACCTATTCTACTAACTTCGAGGGGTTATTCTAGATTTGCCGAATTAGTAGATCAGCTCACGGGGCTTAAACCTGATGACGTTGCTAACACGAGCCCTAGCAAGAGTCGTGATTCGCAGAATCTACCACCGGATTGGAATCGCGACCCACTGAGAAAATCCGGCGAGAAACTCAGTGGGCTGTGTCTGTGGGTTAATTTCAAGGTAAGCTTACATATACAACATAAAAAAACTCGGCATAAATTACAGCATGTAATGTTGCGAACAAAATTAATAGTAGGTACACTAACCTGAATGGACTTGCCAATGGTGGATGGCACCTGTGGTAGAACGTAATGAAGGTTCTCAACCCTTTTGCGGAATAATTTGGAGTCGTACTTAGCGTTGTGATGGTAGACCATAGGTCTATTGATATTGGTACCGACGAATAGGTGACCGCATTCTACGATCACCACAGCGGCGAGGACTAATATAATGATTTGCAGTTTCATTGTCGAAATGACTCTGAACGATTGTGATTTGCGAGGAGGTTGCTCCCATTAAATATGATTTGGTCTATGGAATTCAAATGTAGGTAGTATAGTAAACTTGCAGTTGGTTAACATGTTGTAACTATGATTGTCATGGCGCCGCAATTCCAAGGAGTATCCCTGCAACCTTCCGAGAGTATCGGGATACTTGGGGTCGACATTTCGAGCGATGTCCAATTTCGGAGTCATTTGGAAGGCAAAGCCAAGTTGGCGTCCAAAATGCTGGGAGTCCTTAACAGAGCGAAGTGGTACTTCACGCCTGGACAAATATAAAGCACAAGTCTGACCTCGCGTGAAGTACTGCTCCCATCTCTGAGCCGGAGCTCCCAAATACCAGCTTCTTCCATTTGACTCCATACAGAAGAGGGCCGTTCGGATTGTCGATAATCCCACTCTCACGGATCGTTTGGAACCTCTGGGTCTGCGGAGGGACTTCGGTTCCCTCTGTATTTTGTACCATATGTTCCATGGGGAGTGCTCTGAGGAGTTGTTCGAGATGATACCGTCATGTCGTTTTTACCATCGCACCGTCCGCCACCGGAGTAAAGTTCACCCATACTACCTGGAGCCACTGGGTTATCCACAGTGTGTTTCCAGAGATATTTTTGCCACGTACCATCCGGCTATGAAACGAGGCTTGTGGGGAGTATTAAGTAGGCAGCGGCTTGCCTCTGCCCCTGGCATTGCTGAAGTCCATGGGCGACGGTAAACACTCACCATCAGGTGGTCCATGTGCTCGTCTGAAAAAAAAACCGTGATTCATGATAACTGGGAACTGGGAACAAATCACGCAATGTCATCCCACCACAAATTAGGATTCCCTGCTTGGTTTCGGAGACTGACCTCCATACTTAAATACGTTTACATATATACACAGATAGATAATAAACACCTGTTTATCACACGAATGTATGCTTAATGTGGAAATGGAACCCATGACCCTCGGCGTCAGTCAGAAGCACTAACTATTCCACCACAGAGTTAGTCATGATACTCTAACGTTTAGTTGACATGCAAATGAATTCTTTAGAGATCCACCAGGAATTAAACTGTATTGTGGCCGATATATCTGAATTGTTACTTTGATTCGATTGTTGTGGGAGAATTTTAGTTATTTCTGTACTATAAGATGTTGTTGGTAAAATTGAAGGAGAAAAGTATTTTGGAGATGCCATAGTTACGGGAGATACTTCAGTTTTCAGCAGTATTGAATGACCAACTTCTGTATGATTAACTTCTATAATCAGTTTTTTTTGTTTCTTACTGGTAGAAGAACCTCTTGTGACTCTTATGACTCCGCGCGAGTAGGTACCACCACCCTGCCCATTTCTGCCGTGAAGCAGTAATGCGTTTCAGTTTGAAGGGTGGGACAGCCGTTGTTACTATACTGAGACCTTAGAGCTTACATCTCAAGATGGGTGGCGCATTTACGTTGTAGATGTCCACGGGCTCCAATAACCGCCTAACAGTAGGTGGGTTGTGAGCTCATCCACCCATCTAAGCTATATGAAAAAATCTTAATTAACCCTAAGTGCTGTGTGCGAAGTGTAGATGTAATCGGTGTGTTAACATAGATCTTTCAGTCAGTATGGTTCGGTAGCAGGGTCTGTGGAGTTATCTTAGTGATTCGGGGCACCCTTGTCGTTTTTTCCAGCATTTACACTGTGGCTCGATCAGGTAATAAAATTGAAAACGTTAGGCATTTTAAAATGATAATTAGCTTCGTTTTCATTAAGTTTATCTTTTAATGACTTCATTAACAAAATATTTTTCACAATAATTTCACCAATTATACATAGGTCGAAACAATGGCGGATATTTTAATATGTTTTTTTTTTTTTAAATAAGTGTATTGATTTTTTTAGACATAATACTTGTAGTCTGAGCCATAGAAGCAGCTTAATCTTAGCTCGTTTACTGCTTAATTCAGCTGCTAAAGAAATAAAAACATCATAAAAATAGTGCTTTAAATCAGAAGCAGCTCGAATATGCTATTTTTAAGAAAGAAAAAAAAATAACGCTTTATATATCCGTGTGCGATCTTGATTTTAATTACAATAATTAATAAATTGCTATTGTTCGAGATTATCTCTTTTAAAAAGCGGGAGGTCCCGTCATCGACTTAGAGTTCGTCTATATTACTGCATTTATTCAAAGAGCGTTTCCAGAGATCTTTTTTGCTAAATACTATCTGGTAGAATTAGTCCCACGGTGTTTCTTGAGCATTATGAGGTCTCCTTCTAGAAAACTGGTTCGAGCTAACTCCTAAGCGATGGGTAGCGGCTTGTGACCCTGGTTGACTGGGTATATCTGACGTCCACGGCGACACTGACCATTAAGTAGACCGTATGGTCATCTGTCTACGAGGCCACAAAAATTTATATCAACATTTGAAAGACACTTACTGGTGGTAGGACCTCTTGTGAGTCCGTGCGGGTAGATACCACCACCCTGCCTATTTCTGCTGTGAAGCAGTAATGCGTTTCGGTTTGAAGGGTGGAGCAGCCGTTGTAACTATACTTGAGACCTTAGAACTTATATCTCAAGGCGGGTGATGCATTTACGTGGCTCCAGTAACCACTTAACACCAGGTGGGCTGTGAGCTCGTCCACCCATCAAAGCATTAAAAAATAAATAAATAAAACACCCTAAAATTTGGTGAATTAATTTCTTTACTAATTTAAATATTAAATTTTAAAAATCTTAATCATGGATAATAAAATAAATTCCGATCTCAACGTATCGCGACGGTAGTTCGAAATCGAAATAAGTTTAGATTAAGTAATCAAGCGTATATATAAATCTCATAGTTGATTTCGTTTCCCCTGTCGCTCTTCATGCGTATCTTGACTTTGTTGTAGCCTATTCCTCCTTCAGTTACGTTGGCGGTTGCTCCGGAACGCGTCCGATCGTAGGCCAGAATGCCCTGCAACAAAATGGACCGCATCACTCAGAAGCTTAACTTCGTTTAGGGTCATGCTGTTCGCTAGAAATAAAAATAATTATTATCGATTCTGCTATACTTCTTTACCAATACCAAAACTCAAGCAGTTCTTGAAAATGGTAATGTTAAGCTCTGCTATTTTTTTATTTTATTAAATAGGTGGGTGGATAATCTCACAGCCCACCTGATGCTAAGTGGTTACGTTACCGGAGCTCATAGACATGTCCAACGTAAATGCCGCCACCTACTTCTGAAAGTGTATCATCATATCTGAATATGAGTTCTAAGGTCTCAGTATAGTGCAAGGTACGCTCTAAGGTATCCTCCACGTTATTAATAGGTAAGTTAATGTTATTAAATTATTTAAAGTATTATATTGTGAATATTTTTTTTTCCTTACATTATACGTTAGATTAGTTTTCGTTATCGTGTTGTTTTGTCGTAATTGTAAGGAACGTTGTTATACAAATTCAGCACTATATGTCTTGTTTTGTCGTGCGCATATAACGTATGCTGCAAGCTAGATTTTGTTTCTTTTTATTTCTGTTTTTTATGTATCTTTAGCTTGTGATGTGTATTGTGAGCCTAATAAAATAAATAAATAAATATTATCATAGATAGATCTATTGCCCGTCGAGCAGTATTGGTCGATATTACCATTTCTCATGACGAGAACCTCGTGAAGACTGGTAAAGACAAATCAAAAACTTTTTAGACCTTGCCCACGAGACTACCGCCATGTGGCACCTTTATTTAACCATCATTGCTCTGATAGTTCTGTTCTGCTTCGACCGCATCTTTAATCAGCTGGACTACCGTTACGGGCCTGGTACAGAAAGCGGTTATACTCTATACGGCGGATATTGTGAGGAGGTTTCCCACTCAGGAGTCCTAAACCACCGTTGGATTGTGCCGTAGAAATCGCCACACACGGCAGTCTGCTCTTTATAGTTTTTTTCAGCCGCTAAAAATGTATTCAACTGAGATTTAGACTTAGATTTTAGGTTTCAAGGCGCTTGACAGCATTTATCTTATGATGTCTATGGGCACCAGTATTTTCTTTACACCACCTGGGCTGTAAGGTCATTTACTTGTCTATGCGAAAAATAATAATGGACTAATCGAATCATCAATAAAAGGACCTAAGGTTATGTAATTCTACGCCGATCTTTAAGTCGTCAATGTTTTTAATCTAAGAAAGAAAAAAAAACAGCAATGAAATTTTCCTAACAAAATTTACCTTAATTTCCAGTTTCAGACAACAGAGAGAAATGTCGAAATTTTATTCGTAAAATAACAAATTTATATTTTTAAAACTACACCAAAATAAACACCAATTCAATTATTATAATTGATTGAATTTATTTATACAAGTGTTTCCACATGAAAGAGTAATTATTCGCTTTCATTATAGGTATTACAATAATATCTTTTGTGAGTGAGTTTGGCAAAAATTAATTAAGAGTTATTGTTCAATAGTAAATATGAATTGAAATTATTTTAGAGACTTCGCATACGACAAAACGTGCAATATCTATGTACGTCCAAAATATCGACGCAATATAGGACTCGCCAAAAATGGCGCTGACTCCTATTTAGTTGAGATGAAATGTTATAATTTAGTAAATTTCAGAAAGAACAAGTCAACAGACAAAAACATTGAGCTAAAAATGATGATTAATCAAATACACCATGTTCTTTTTATGCAGACATAGCTTTGTTAAGCTCTCGTAAAATACAAATGTCCTTTTTGCCTATCTATTCGCTGGTAGCCTACGGGGCTCATGGACATGATCCCATTGCTATAGAAATTTTGGGGCTTCTGATCAAAATACCGCGACCATTGGTCTTGGCAGTCCTCTCGTGATTTTAACCTGACACTGCCTAAATAATTCTGAAGAAACCGAAACAGGGGGAAATCCGAAGGTCAGGGCTATACGGCGGATGCATTAAAACCTCTTTGCTGAGTGGCTAAAAATGTGTGAGGTCTAGCGTTATCATGATGAAAAACCACACCCCTTCTGTTGATTAATTCCGCCCGTTTTTTCTCAACTTCTTGCTTTAATCTCGTCAGTTGTTCTCGTCACGGGTACGCTCGATCGGGTAGGTGAGCTCAAGGACTCAGCCTGAGAGAATTTGCTAACACTAACCCTAGCAAGAGCAGTGCTTCGTAGAATCTGCCACCGGAATCGGAATCGCTACTCACTCAGTAGATCCAGTGAGGAATTCAGTGGGCTATGTATATAGGTTAGTTCGCTCATCGAAGAGCTTGATGTGCCTAAAAGCATTGAGAATGAATCCTTGGGATCCGAGAAGACATGTTTCGGGCGATGGTGGCTTTGCGTTGCGTCGCGTCGCCTAGGTCGGATATGTAATTAGCGGTGGCCACGATAAGAGGGTTATCGTGTCGCGCCGCTTTGTCGAAGTAGCATTGTGACGCTACCTTAAGACGCGGTTTCCAAAAGCCCAACAATAACCTGGTACCTAACGAGAAGCCAAGTTTTGAAAAACAATTCCATGTCGCTTATTTAAGCGATAATAGTCTTTTTTTTAATAAACTTGAAAATCGACAACCCTGTTCGCATTATTGAGTACTGTTAACATAAATTTCACAATTTTCCAGTGATTTTTTTAATGACGTAAGGTTTAAATTAAAAAATCGTCGGGCTTATGGAGCAAGAATAATGCTCATGTGAACATTGGCCTCAAGAATAACACTCTTCTTCATTATTTCCTGTTACCCTCTGCTGGGATGTAGGGCTCAAATCAAATTCTTCCAATTGCATAAGAATAACATAGAGAAGGTTTTTTTGATTACTTGATTTATTAATACAAACTAGTGGTCCTGCAGTAGTCGAAATTCGACTATAATTAATTGAATTTATAAGTTTCAACATTATTATGGTTCTAGTGTTACAGATTTCGACAAAACTACACTATAGACAAATGCTCTTAATATTAAAGATAAACAATTCTAGCCTATTCTCAATTTGACTACAGACAGACTTTAAACATTATCAAAATTTTGACAATAAACAAAGAGTATATGTGTGTGTGTCAAATACATGGTAGTGTGTGTAATGTTTTCTTTATTGATTTAATGTATCTTTCATGCATTATTTTAAAAAAAATAGCATTGTGCACTTCTTCTCTATATTCTCTATAAGTGTGGAAAATTTCATACTCCTCCGTCCGCGCAATTTCGGAAAAAGGGATTAATATATAGTATACGTATTAATATATAGATTTACTTTAATTCCGACAGCGTCCGCGACCAGTGATATTGAATTATTACACTAATACAGTTTAATGGACTGATTACTCAAGTATGAGAGCACACATGACAGACTGATGACTCTCTCTTTTATCTCTTATCGCAAAGTTATCCGTTTTGGTTTCAAGATGCCTATTTCTGCCGTGAAGCAGTAATGCGTTTCGGTTTGAAGGGTAGGGCAGCCGTTCTAACTACACTGAGATCTTAGAGCTTATATCTCAAGGTGGGTGGCGCATTTATGTTGTAGATGTCTATGGGCTCCAGTAACTACTTAACACCAGGTGGGCTGTGAGCTCATCCACTCATCTAAGCAATAAAAAAAAAGAAAACGCTATTTCTATTACAATTGAGATTTGTCCTCAAAGTAGACGGTGACTGGGTCCGCGTGCACGACTGCTCATATGTGCTCACAAAAGAAAAAAAAAACTTTCAAAACCATACCTGTATAACAGAATTTCCGCTTTTTGGAATAGTGTAGTTCATAAATTCTATTCTTTTCCTGAACGTTAGGGCGCTGTAGGTTGCATTGGTCTTGTACACGAGTGGTCTCATTACACTTGTGCCCACAAACGTGTGACTGCATTCACGGAAATCAAAAAAGAATATTAAAAATAATAAAATTATGGCTCTCATTATGAAAGACGACCGCTCTGTCTTCGTTTTCGTAATGAACTTTAGTATAAAGACATAAGCCATTATAGCGTATGTACATTAATATATAACAAAAATGTAAAAGATGTCTGTGTGTGTGTGTGTTTTCTTAATTACTTATTAATTACATGTGCGCTCGTTCGGGCGACCCACATGATGTAAACCGGTTAAGCTTAAGCTCATGGGCATCGTGACGTGAATGCCACTGCTTTGAGGCATGAGGTCGATGTCTCAATTGTTTAATATAAAAGCTGTAGTATACTTCAATGCGAAAATAGGCAACATGGTAATAATTACTACCAAGGAGAACTTACAAAAAAGAATGTATTTTTTCTATTGCAATGATATTTAATAATCTATACCCACAATAATTATTTTACTTATGATAATGCATATTAAAACAATTTTTTTTTATCAATAAAGGCGGCGTTATTAATTGGATTTTTTTTTTAATAATGTGTGTTACAATTTTTTTTCTACTCGAACCGATTTTGACGATTTTCTTTAAATTTGAAAGCTGATACTTCTCATGTATTATCGAAATGTGAAATTCGAAATGTGAAATAGCTATTTTGTTCATGAGTGATCTAGTCCAAATGTATATTAGTTTTTCCCCTACTAGCCTACTACTGCTACTACTGTTCCCTACTAGCCTAAAAGGGTTGGCCCCTTTTCCAGCTACGCCCGGACGGGTAGGTGAGCTCACGGGTTCAACTTGCGAGAATTTTCTAACACCAGCCCTAGCAAGAGCAGTGCTTCGCAGAATCTATCGAATTGGAATAATCGAATCGGAATCCCGGATAGGTAGGAAAAAAAAGAGGAATTTGGAATAAAATAAAAAAACACAACATGTGTGTGCAACATTTTCAGTTCCCGTTTGACATCGAACAGATAAAAATCAGTTTTGTGCAATTCAGATTCTTTTATATATCCAATTCAGGCTTCGTTTTAATGTTCGATGGATTTTGCAGGAGTATAATAGGAGGAGTAATAGTACAAGCTTTTACTCCGCTAAAAGTTATCAGTAGTCTTTACGTCATAAATAAATGCCAATGCATCGTATATTGTTACTAGAGTAGCTACCTTGTCATTAGGAGATTGGGTATCAATGATTTCAACAAATAAAGCTAACTGATTCGGTGGTGCAGTAATTAGTGGCCCAGACTGTTGCGTTTAGGGCCGTGGGTTCTATTCCCATATATTTTAACTTATATAAGTATATTTCTCCGTCTCTGGTACATAATACAGGGAATCCTAAATTGGGGCCACATGACCGTGCGTGATTTATTTCAATTTTATTTATTTATTGCTTAGATGGGTGGACGAGCTCACAGCCCACCTGGTGTTAAGTGGTTACTGGAGCCTATATAATATATCTACAACGTAAATGCGCCACCCACCTTGATATATAAGATATAAGGTTTCGGTATAGTTACGTCTGCCCCGCCCTTCAAAACGAAACGCATTACTGCTTCATGGCAGAAATAGGCAGGGTGGTGGTACTTACCCGCGCGGACACACAAGAAGTCCTATCACCAGTAATTATCATTTATGATTACTATTGTTATAACCATTTATATTTGGCTCATAATGTATACTGAAGTGTTTCGAGTTTTTTTAAATAATTGATCTTATAGTATTTTCACGATACTAGAACCTATTTAAAAGAATTATAATGTATACTGAAGTGTTTTGATCTTCTTTAAATAATTGGTCTTATAGTATTTTTACGACATTAGAACCTATTTATAAGAGATTTTTGTGAAAACTCATCCTACTTATTTCTTCGACGTCAAAAAGATGATGGTGCTTCAAATGTTCTTTGTAAAAACACAATAATACGTTCTTAGCTTAGAGTTAATAACTGGTGTTTTGTGGGAATCTCGTAACAACCCATTAGTTCTAAGTAATGTATGCTACTGAAATATAATCCAGCATTATTGGTGGTAAAATGTAATGGCGTCTTTAAATAAAATTATTTGGAATTCTCTCTGTGGAGCATTCGATGACAGGTATTCGCATACAGACGATATGATATAAAATTTAATTTATAGTAAAATCTTGCCCATGGACCACATTATTCTGCTAATAATGTGTTCATTTCACCAGAATTTACAATAAATTCGATACGTCCTTTTTAAATAGTTACAAGCTTGAAATTCAGTGAAATAAATGCAAGTATGACAAAATGTTTCATTATTTGAAATTACAAAACAAGTCGACATTAAAATGTAGTTCAATGTAGTACATTAGTTAGTAATAAGGCTATGTTTTTGGTAAATAAGAAATAATTCTATTATGTTCAGTAATTTGTAATAGAGGTTTAAAAAAAACCCGAAATGCAAACTATATTAATGAAAATAACATTTAAATAAGTATATAATTAGTCCTTAAAATAAAACCTTGTTAATTATCGCATACATTTCAGATTAAATAAGAGATTAAATGTAACCNGTACATTAGTTAGTAATAAGGCTATGTTTTTGGTAAATAAGAAATAATTCTATTATGTTCAGTAATTTGTAATAGAGGTTTAAAAAAAACCCGAAATGCAAACTATATTAATGAAAATAACATTTAAATAAGTATATAATTAGTCCTTAAAATAAAACCTTGTTAATTATCGCATACATTTCAGATTAAATAAGAGATTAAATGTAACCGGATACTATTACTATGAGCCATTTAACTTCTAAATCATCTCATATAAATATAAAAACATATTAAGACTGTGAATAAGCTGTCGAATTCAATGATTCTCACAATACTTACTGTACAAAATTAAGGTCTTCTGTGTCCGTCAGGTTTTTTGATAGATATAATACTTTAACAAGCAAAGTAGGTATTAAAGATCATTTTTAATAAAAACTAGCTGACCCGGCAGACTTCGTAGTGCCTCAATCGATAAATAAAATACCTAATACCTTTTGTATAAAATAAATTTAAAACAAACAAAAGGAATCCGTCCGACGGGGGACACATCAAAGGAAAAACAAAATTTTTATTTTTATTTAATTCCCAGCATTTTCATATTTATCTACCTTTTAAACCTTCTCTGGACTTCCACAAATAATTCAAGACCAAAATTAGCCAAATCGGTCCAGCCGTTCTCGAGTTTTAGCGAGACTAACGAACAGCAATTCATTTTTATATATCATTTTTAGATAGATAGATAGATAATAAAAGCGCACCCGATCCAATTTCGTTAGTAAACAGAAGCGGTTATAGTACATTATTTGACACTGGCTAAGAGTCTCAAATGAGGTCAGGTATCGTAGAACTTGTTGGATATTAAGTTTCCAACTTAAATTGACTCGGCTATCACTGTTCTGTCGGTTGAGGTCTGTATACAACAATATTAAATTCAAAGAAGTACAACTTATTTTATTGATACTATTTTTTTATATATATTTAGTGACTTAATGAAATAGCTAGGACATTCTTAATGAATCAACTTAATTTTTTATTTAATGACTTGTGTTTGTTTTCTTTTTATTAATATATTGGTTTATAATACAGTACATGCTACTCTACACTTTTTTCTATACCTGTACTAACAGCCTTGAGAGGCTATTTCCGTTTTTCCTTGACGTGTTGGTGAGCTCACGGGGCTCAAATCAGGAGTGTTGCTAGCACTGGCCCTAGTAAAAGCAGGGCTTCGCAGAATCTACCACCGGATCAGAAACGCGACCCACTTAGAAGTTCAAGAGAAATTCAGTGGGCTGTGTCTATGGGACGACACTATGCATCATAGTACAACTTAAAACTTTCCACAAAGCAACTTATATAATATGTACTATGATTAAAGAATAACATTAACATGCGGTACTACAGTATTCGTGAAAACATATTATAACCTTTGAAAGAAATATTAAGATTTGAAAATTTCACTGGTAGCTTTAATCTTAGCAGTATTCTTAAGTGTACCTCAGCCCTAACGTGAAGGCGGTGTATGCGAAGTTCGATATTGCGAAACAATGTTGTTCAAACATTGCTTACGATTTAAACGTATTGTGTTCCATTTGATAGTTGAAGTACAGTAAATGAGAACTAGAGAAGGTGAGGGTAATATGATTTATATACTTGCGTAAACAACGACCAGGGCTTTTGATTTTTAACGGACTAATTTGTCCAGTTTTTCATCATAGAACGCGGGCTTTACTTTGATTTCTGCGGGTGCCGCCATTCCTTACCACTCGACAGTTCGAGATAGAAATGATCGCGAATCACAATGTGGTTTTAAACATCCGACACTGAGGAAATTTCATTTTTTTTATTGCTTAGAATCAGATGGGTGGACGAGCTCACAGCCCACCTGGTGTTAAGTGGTTACTGGAACCTATAGACATTTATAACGTAAATGCGCCACCCACCTTGAGATATAAGTTCTAAGGTTGTCAGTATAGTTACAACGGCTGCCCCCACCCTTCAAACCGAAACGCATTACTGCTTCCCGGCAGTAATAGGCGGGGTGGTGGTACCTACCCGTTCGGACTCACAAGACCTACCACTAGTAATTACGCAAATTATAATTTTGCGGGTTTGATTTTTATTACACGATGTTATTCCTTCACCGTGAAAGTCAATCGTGAACATTTGTTGAGTACGTTTTTCATTAGAAAAATTAATACCCGCCTGCCGGATTCGAAAACCGTTGCATCGCTACATACGAATGCACCGGACGTCTTATCCTTTGGGCCACGACGACTTCATTCATTTTTATTTATTTTCACGTATACATATAGATAGTTTTTACTTACTACTACTATTACTGTTATATTGTTTTCAGCTTATGGAAGAACGCTTACATTTCGGTAATGTTGAGTTTCGTGTCTCACGAAGAAACGGCTTTAAGCTTATCGTTAAGGCTGTCTTATCAAGTTAACAAAAACACAGGCTAGCAACAACGAATACATCCAAAGTTATTATTTCAATGTTGATTCTCTTTAACTGGTTATCTGCGCAGCTTGGCGCGGCTGCCAGCGACGATAGCCGCCGAAAACTTCCGAATGTTTATTTGGATTGTAAAAGTAACAGATTTTCGG